TTCAACCAATTTGTTAACGCTAAATTACCTGCATGCTCACTAAAGGCTTGTCACTCTGCAAAAAGCAAGCGTAATATGCTACCTGTCAAGCGTCCTATTTTGGGATCAGGACATTTCCGAATCACTTCGAGAGCTCCAGGAAAACATTACTAACCGAACATTTTCAGTTCACGAACAAGCCGCTAAGTACAGCTTTAGTGTGTTTTCATTCGAAATATGAAGTTCTTGAACACGTTATCCTCACTCAAACTACGTAAAATTAATCTCTCATAAGGACTGAACCTCAAATATCTCAAGATTAAGTAATCAACCATCCAAATCGTTGAAAATTCCAAATTTCGTAAAAGATAGTGAATTACAAATTTACCCGCCATATTGAAAATCGCTGAATGCGTGCGTGACGTCATACTAGCAGTGATGTCTCGACTTTGGAGACGCCCCCTCCCATTGTAAAATAACCATTCGATGGAAGAGGACCCTGAAAGTGTGTGAAATACTGAAGAAACAATAAAATGAAAGAGAATCCTAAAAATGCGTGAGACACTATATTAACAATTCAAAAGGTGCATGAGAAACTAATATGTAAAAATCCGTTGAAAGAGAATCCTAAAAGTGCATTAGATAGTTATGTAACAATCAAATGAAAGAGAACCCTTCGAGTGTGTGAGTTACTAATGTAATAATCCAATGAAAGAGAATCCTAAAAGTGCGTAGGATACTAATATTACAATCCATTGAAAGAGAATCCTAGAAGTCCGTGAAAAACTAATGCGTCAATTCATTGAAGGAAAATCCTTAAAGTGCACGGGATCATTACTAGTGTAACACTCAAATGATATTGAAGCTCGACGAGATGTTAAATTAACAATAGAATGAAAGAGAATCCTAAAAGTGCTTGAGATACTAACTTAACAATCCAGAGAAAGTTACCGACGTATCAGTCGATTGAAAGAAAAAATCTAAGTGTGCCAGATGCAAACTTAATGATCGAATGAAAGAGAATGCTTAAAGTGTGGGAGATACTATAGTGACAATCCAATAAAAGAGAAGCCGTGTGCGAGTTAGTTACGTAAGAATCTAATGAAAGAAAAATCCTAAAAATGAGCGTGATACTAACGTAGCAATCGATGGAAGAGTAGTAATGTTCATAGCCATTGCATGGGCAAGGATGGAAAAGGGGAATTTTATGCAAGAACCAAGCAAGATTGCTGGGATCTGCGAGGGAAAACTATCGAGCTTGGTTGTTGCTTTTCCTCCAGACTGACTGGAAACGATTTGAGAGTTGTGAACTGACGCTAACGGAGTTTTAACAATAAGGCTCTATCAAGTAGTTTAAAGGGAAATTGTAAAAGCGCCTCAGTTAACAAACTCTTACTTTTTTTCGGATTGCTTGCTGCTTTTGTTCGTCTGTTAGTTTTAATTTCTATTTTATTTCCTTTAGTAATTTATTGTAGTAACCTGATAAAAATGACGCCATGCGCACGCGTTATGATACTCTCCTCAGACACTGGAAAAACAATTTTTGTTAACTGTCAACAGCATTAAGTCACATGTTTGCATGATTTTTCTATTCTTAATAAGCATACACTGCCTTGTTAATAATTCAGTTTCTTTGATGTAAAATGCTCCGTCAGGAAGCGTTATAGACATAACGACCGTCTAAAGCTAACGGCTGGATGTTTTACGGACTCGATCCGAACAGCTTTGGGCAAAATTCAGAGAGACGGCGCTATATGAGGAAAGAAGATGTCGAACTTTACTGACGGCGACAAAACTTTTGATGAATTGATTTGCTCGACAACTCCAAACAAGAAACCAGCCGTGGTATTCCTTTCAGCTTTCAACTTCCTTCTCTCCTTAATTGCTTCTGCCGGCAATTCTCTGATTCTAATCGCTCTTCAGAAGCCATCTTCTCTTCACCCTCCTTCGAAGGTTTTGTTGTGTAGCTTAGCTGCAAGTGATCTATGCGTTGGATTGATATTACAGCCTTTGGTGGCCATTCTGTTTACTGCTGTTGCCGTTGAATCTAAGTCTTTGTGTCGTCCCATGCTTGGCCTAAGCTTCCCAATAGGTGTAGTTTTGTTCGGGGTCACTCTGCTAACCTTGACCGCAATTAGCGTGGAAAGATTTCTTGCGTTAGAGTTAGGCACACGATTTCGACAGGTCGTCAGTTTCAGGAAAATTCTCGCACTTGTAATCTGTTTTTGGGTCTTAAATGTGGGTATGGCTGCTTTGTGCGTGTGGAAAGTTTTTATTTTTCTTTGGTACGGCTTAATGTTGATTTTAACATGTGTGGTAACTTCCACATTCACTTATGCAAAAATCTGTGCTAGTCTTCGCCGCTGCCAAACCGTTGTGCACCACCATTCGCTGAGCGAAGAGGAAAACGAAACTCGTTTGAACATTGTTAGATGCAAAAAGACAGTATCTTGTTCAATGTGGATTCTGATGACATTACTTGTGTGCTATCTTCCTTACTCTATAGTAACAGCTGTAGCGACGCAGAATGGTTTGACTCCAGCCCTCGTCCTGGGCTGGAGGTTCACCTCATCGATCGTTTTCCTCAATTCGTCATTGAATCCATTCCTCTACTGCTGGAAGATTGCAGAAGTGAGACAAGCTGTGAAAGACACGATCAGAAAATCGTTTTCACTGGGTTAAAAACGGAAATCATCTCATAATTTAGCCTGGATGTCAAGAGAGGATCAACTTTTGTACATGGACGCATCGTCCATGAAATCTGCAAAGAAGGACATGTTGTTTTATGTTAAAGAGTCTGCTTTTTTATTTCGCTTCAGAAGAAACTCTGATGTTGGTTGCAAGAAAACAGTCTTTAAGAGCAAATATCCTTAACTCAGAGAAATATTCGCTTAACGAGACGCTGGTTGCCTTTTTTCAGCTTAAAAAGAAGAGGTTTTCTTAATATTTTAATTTCATGCCAGCGATTTTAAATGATTTATTCGGTCGCCTTTGTGAAAAATATTCAGAATTAAGGATTCAATGATTTCGAGTTTAAATAAGTGTAATCACACCTTGACAGTCGTATTGACGTATGTGACTGAGTCAGGGAAAATGGAGAGCCTAGGAAGCCGACAGTTTCTTTCAATAATTTAACATATCCGATGGTTGTCTCCTCTATGGAATAAGACAAAGCAAATATATCAGTAAGGTGTTCCAAATTAGAGGGTGGTGACAATTGATTCCGGTGACAAGTGAGGAAACATATGCTCCAATGTAATTAAAAGGCTCATGTCATAGCGGGTAAAGGATGTTTTTTAAAGTGCACTCAAACAGTGAAAAGCTAATGTTAAAATCCTTAGATAATATTTTGTATAGGTTTCTCCGGTTACTGCTGACAAAAGATGAGAAACAGTTTAAACCTAACCGTAAAAACATCACTCGTTGGATAAATGTATGAGTGGGTTTATGGCCATTTAAAGATGAAAATATAGAAGAAAGCGTTGACAATGAACAAGGTAATAGGTACCCCGGCTGAAAGAGCTTCCGAAAGTCATGGGGGTTTTAATTAAAACTTCTCTCTCTCTCTCTTTTTTTTATCATTTTCGGCAACTGACGATAACGTGCTTTTGTGCTTTTGCCACGGGACGTGATAGCCTATAGCAGCTTGGAATTTTTTAAAGTATTCCTTTGATGGAGTATTATAGAGGCTATTTACGGTCTCTACGTCTTTTCGGTAGTCTGGATCGAAATCGATGCCTGGCAAAGGTTGCAGAGGAAATGAGCCTTTTCCTTTTATTTTCTTTTTAACCGTGCGATATGGATCAAGTCGATTGTCCAAATCTCGTATTTTTCAATTTGTTTGTTTTTTTCAGTTCTAAATGAGCCTTAGTCTAATTTAGCGCGCGGTGGATACATGCAAAGAACTATAACCTTTCAATTCCAGTCCCAAGATTTGATCAGTAACTCTCCTAGCTCTTACACCTATTATTTCCTTGAAAATCAATAGAGAGAGTTTCGTTCTTATTGGAATAAATCTCTCTGGCTGATAAGTTAGTCACCATTCTGGTCGCCTGATCGACGAATAACGTGGGAATAGGCAAGGAAAGAAAAAAATTGCATGTGAATCAGGTCTTGGAGCGAATGGGCCAATCTATAAGGCAGATGTTCCCGCAACTCAGAACGAGTCGCCTAAAAATTTGGAGAAGTGCTTTGTCCCAAAGACTTTCTAACTGCGAGACATCAAAACAACTCTTTTCATTACGTTTTCTTTTATTTCCACCGAAAAAAAGCTTTCAGATAAATTACAAATATTTGAGCATCCTCAATTGGCTTAAACACCTGCCGGAATTGTGAGAGCATATATAAATACCAAGTTAAAAGGAACCGAAAACTAAACAAAGCTGACATTATTTGGAAATGGCCAACGTAATGGGAGTATATTACGCATTTCTGAAAAAGTTGTGAAGTAGCTAAATTACCGTAGCCTTTCAGGCCTGTACTCTTTAGGATGTGGTGTGAAATCGTACTGATATTACGATCTATTTAAACAATAACTTCCAAACGAATCACAAAAAAGACTGAACTGAAAAAACAAAATTTATGCCTGCACAGTTAGTTCGTCCTGCCGAAGCTTATATCTCGGTTTCAGGAGCAATACGTTGCAAGGAGCTTAGCCAATCCCTTCCCCTCCCCCCAAAAGAAAAAGGCGTAACTGGCCTTGGCGATCTTTTCATGCGATTCTGTTGTTTTTGGCTTCTAAGGTTTTTCTGTGGGCTCTCTGATCCCCCCCCGCTAAGGAACATACATCAACTTTGTGGAAATTCTAATATGACTTGGGAACATTAGGAAAAAAGATTCTCCACTTAGGTCCGTTACTCATTACTGAATAAGCTATCCTGAGAGGAAGAATTAAGAATCAATTTGTATATTCATTTTGCTCAGAAATAATATATAGATTTAGCTTAGTCTCGGGCCCTAGGACTTCCGGTTGAGCACACTTTTTAAGGTCAGCGGTATCTCCGTCAAGAGTGTATGATCGAAAAAAAGATGGCGAAGTTACGGAACGTTTTGTGCGGCTTGTTGCAAATAAGGAGGCATTACGCCCGGTAAGATAAAGAGATCCTTCTTTCTTAACCATTTGGCATTTTTTACGCTAACTGAACGCAAATTTTTGAAGGCTTTCGGAGGTTGGACGTTTCCAAGAGCCAAAAACCAGCGGAAAATACGAACCAGGACAGGTAAGCCGCTGATGAAAATCCGCTTTAAAAATTGGAACGCGTTAATATGCTGAAGGTAGTGCTCGGAGGTCTATTAGAATACTTTTTAGTTAGTTATGCTATGTTGGCCTGTTTAGTAAACTGTAATGACTTCTTATCGCCAGTTACGTAATACAAAAGGAAATGTGTATTTTATTTTCGATTGAACCTTTCGTATTTGTTACGACCCGCACTTGACCTTGATTTGGGACTGTCATTCGTCACTTTTCGAGGAACAGCAAACTAGTGCCCAAAGGAAATTAAAAGGACATACGTCTCGTTTTTCTTTGAAATGGAAAGTTATGTTCTAAGTTTAGGTCCAAAATACCGGCAAATATTGCAGTGACGGTTTCCTATCTGTGATGTCGATAATGTGCACACGTGATATTGAAGGTTTCTGAGAAGTAACGGAAACCTTGTGGTTGACCCTGATGTGCAGGAGGCAATTTTTTTTACTGTTTCTGTCGTGATTAGATATTTGTTAAAACAGCAAAGACAAGAAGTCAAATTTTGATTGGTTTGCTAATAGCAAGAGATTGATTGCTACATAGGTTACCCAAAGCAGGGACCTAGTGTAGCTCAGGGAGACCTCGCCAATTTGATGGTCTGATTCTCAACCGCTACATTACAGTAATTTTTAAAGTGTTCTTTGTTTAAATAAATGAGTTAAACTTTGAGCTTAGTCATGTAATAAAGAAAGTTGGCTGATTCAAGCAAGATGCATGTCTCTTAAAAATGTTGTTAGACATGTCTAGTGCACCAACAAGTTCAGAAGAGCATGACTCAAGAAATCTGAAGATCTGGGGCACAACTCCTCTTAGGCGAGTCAGGATCTTTTCTTTGTCCATGGTTAGGATAGAACTTACTACATTTCTCAGCAGTTTGTTAGTGCCAGTTTTCCCATCTTGTGTTCAAACATTTCGCATGTAGGCTTCTTTTGGATGGGAAGATACACTCAATGTCCATAATTCCTGACTTTCTGCTTGTTTTGTTCTGTATTTCCTCAAAGCTCTTTCTGCACAGATTATTTGGTTACAGAGGGGTGATACTATTCACTTGGTCAGCAAGAGTTTATGACAGAGATAAAGAAACAAGGGAAAATGAAAAGTGAGTTTATCTCTTTCCAAAAAAAAGATTAGATCATTGTACTTCATTTTTGATCAATGCAAAATTTATAGAATTGTGTCCAGACTAAAATTGTCTGAAACTGTATCTTTTCATTTAGTATCCTTTTGCAGGTTTCTTTCTCAAATGTTTTTTTTATTTTTTCCTTAATTTTTTTCCTTCCAAGAAAATAAGCAAGGTACTCGTAAACTCCTATCAGTTACTACACCTCTCACTGCTAAATTCAGTCTGATAAATGATCTGTATTCAAATGATTCAATTTAGAGACTGTTAAATTGAATGTTAAAACACCCAAATAGTATGTTCATTTGTAAAATGGCCTTAAAATTTACTTTTTTTGTTTTTTTGTTTTTGTTTTTTTTGTTTGCCAGTGGATTGGAACCGGTTATTTTCCTGCTTTTCACACTTCACTAATCTGTCCACCCTGTTTTTGGAACCAATTGTTTTGTGGCACGATGATGGACATTTGAAATGGCATTTTAAAGTGTCTTTTGTGAGGCTAACAACCTTTATTTGGCTTGCAGATCCTTTGATGAGAATGGATCATACAATCCTGGCAAAGAGATCAAGGCAGAAACACAGACATACTATCAGGCACTAATTGATAACAGAGATTCACCATTTGTGGTAAGTTTACAAGAACCAAAACCACCCATCTGCAAAACTCCTGAATAAAGTTGACTTGCAGACAATAAACCCACTGAGTGTATTTTGTACAAAAATTTGGTATCTCCAATCTCATTGCAATTTACTTCTTCACATTCTAAAACTATTGGAGAGTTTTTTCTTCTTCTGATACTTAAAAAAATTAGAATCAAATGCATCCTAATGTTGAAAGCTTTTTGTCATTGTCTTTATCAATATTTCCCAATACTTCTCAGTATCAAGTGTGTACTGTCCATGTTCATTCTTGGTGTGATTTCCAACATAAATTGCTTAAGTTCATTTTCATGATGCTATTGTTCCCTGGAAATTATTGTTAATCTTATTATTTACAAGCTTGCACATGTCTTTGTGTATCTTAATTCTTTCCCAAATCTGGAGATGGTAGATATTTTGCATTTTACATGAAACATTAGCTGGTATATTTTTTAAACAAAAGCCACAACAGTTTTTGTAGTCAGTGTTGTTTTTGTTGTGGGAGCTTCAATGTAATATGTACCTCAATACTGAGCACAGGCAACTACATGCACTTTTGATAAGTTCCAAAGGAGGTTTTTAATGTTGTACTGTGTAAAAATACCCACAGAGTAGTAACCTAGTTCAGTGTTCAGGCTACTTGCAAGTTGGTCACTAGATTATGATTTTGAAGTACAAGCATATAACTATGATATAACAATGTTATTGAAAATGTTCCTGTTAACATATATTGGTCATGTACACTGTAATTTTGAGTAGAGTTTTTTATTCAATCAATAATTTTTTTTTGTATTTCAGAGAGCTCAACCAGAAATTGTGACCTTCCTTGGGTATGAAAGTGACAATGCTCTTTATACAATTCCAGGTGATCACTTAATATTCTTTCTTGGAATTACTTGTTTACATTTTATTTTCTGGCATGAAACAGTACAAAAGTGTACAAAATTGCTTTCTTTTAGTTAAACTAATTGATGCTTGTTGTAAAAGCAAGCTTGCTTGCACAGGGCGTGAAATTAATTTTTTTTTCTGGTAGCCACTTGGCTCCTAAATTCATCAAAGTGGTAGCCAATTCAAAAAAAGTTGGTCGCCATTTTTAAAGACAAACAAAACCTTTTTTTTACGCTGTCATTTTTCTAGAAATTAAGTTAGGGAAAAGATCTTTAATGTGCTACAAAATGGACACTAGGATGGATGATATGCAACATTGAAGCTCACCTAAATCCAAGATGGCGTCTAGTTATTGATTGAGATGCATCTGCTGCATTTTGGAAACAAACTTAACGAGGAAGTTTGCCGTGGATTTGTCTTTGCAAATCTTTTTAATTCACTCTAGGTAAGGTTATGATGAAACATTCTAGTCGCCAATCTGGAGACTAATTTTCAGGATTTGGTCGCCAAAGTGAAAAATTTAGTTGCATTGGCGCCTGTATTAGGCGCAATTTCACGCCCTGTTGCAGTTTAGCCATGCCCAAATTTTCACTTGCCAGCTTTGCTTGATTTTGGCTAGTAGGCCCCTGGAAAAAGGAAGTAAAAGAAGTTAATCTTAGTGTCTCCTTTTCACAATGTGTGTTGTTGATGATGTATATATATTTTTAGGTCTGGACTACATTTCCCAGGAGGATATCCTTCCCTATATGGTTTCCGATGCATTTTCCCGTCCAATCCACCATGAACTGTTTGATCGCTTTTTGTATCCTGAACCTGGAAGAGGTGCAGTGTAATTTAAATGAAAATCCTTCATCCATGGATTGTGCTTGCACATCCTACAGCCACTGACTGGTACTCCTCCTTTAAAATTATCATAATTTCCCTTCTTTGAAATGTGGAATTACATGGCTGCCTGTGGATACATTTTTTTATATCTGAGGGAGTGAGTGAAGCAAACAAGTGAGAGACTCCATCAATAGGAATAGGCAAATTAGTATCCACAAGTGGGCATTTAATCATTTATTTTTTTTTTGACACAGATCTAACTACATATTTAAATCAAAGACAGTTAAATAGCATAAGGTTTAAAACAATGAATGTAGAGATTACCTGCATGTTAATTCTGCTTGCAGAAGAGCTATTTCAACTCTCTATAAAAGTTGAATGCAGTGTAAAGAATGTTTGCAAATTTAGGAAAGAAAACCTGCACAAAGAGTAAAACTGCCATTTTTCCCCCTGGCAACTATCATGATCGTGTTACCTTCTCTTGTAAAGATACAAATGGCATGTTTACTAGGTATGGTGAAGATATGTGTTTGAAAGATTGATTTCATTGATATCTACGTAATCTAATCATTTAGACTAAATGCACACCGTGTGATGTTTCCTTGCAAATCGCCCTTTTTTTCAATTGCTATGAAATAATTTTGAGTAGGAAGATAAAAGAAAGTCTGTGGAAAAAAGTTTTGTTGATATTTTCTATTTAATCCTAAAATGCCAGATCAATGGTCAAAACTACTAACAGACTTCCAATAGCCTTTTACTAATGATTTGATAGTGGAGGATATTCAAACTCCTCCGAAAAGCAGTGCCCTTCTCACACTCTAATCTTGCTTCATACCTCATATGCTTCCACCCATCAAACATGATCACGTCACCAACACAGGTGAGGCTTGTGTCCCTTTTCAGGCAATCAGTGTTTATAGTCTCCCCGCTCAAATTGTGGTGAATTTATATATTTTGGATGAAAATCCAAGGGTAGAAGGTAGCATAATCCTTACATGTACACAGTCCCTGTATGTGACAACAACAGGGACTGACTCAACATTGAACCTTTAGCCTTCTGAAACAACATCTCTTCACTCTCTTTTTTCCTCTTGTGCTACAGAGGGTTTATCATCCATCTGCAACTTGTGTATATTATTTCCTTCAGTGCCTCTCCAACAACAGGTTTTTTTTTTTAATTTAAGAGGCTACTGGTAAGAAAGTATCAACCTTAAGAAACAAAAATTGTTTTCCGTTGAATTAGAACCGTCTTTTGCTGCACGAGAAGCACTCCAATCCTGGCAGGAGAAGAATCATAAGTGGTTAGAATTAACAGATGTACACAGAGAGTCAACAAACAATGTAAGGATTACTGTAATGCCATTCTACATGGGAATAAAGGTATGTTGAGTATCGATATTTAATTTAGGCAAAAGACTTATATACGTACCCTTCAAGGCAAAGTGTGAACGACGAAGTCTGGCATAAGGGTTTGACAGAAATATGCAGAATATAACCCCAATTTAAGATAATTTAGTTTCATCAACTGAGTTGACAATGTAAATTAGCCACTGCAAAGAGTTTCTCAAGCTGAAGTTTCGAGCGTTAGCCCTTCGTCAGCCGCTCTGTGTTGTAATACCAACCCTCCTCACCAACGCAGCGCCACAGTTTCTTACCCCCCTAACCCTGTAACTCCCAGGATCTGATTGTTAATTCTCCCCTCTAGCTGCTACACATTTCCTTGTAAATTAGTTGCAAGAATTTGGTGTTAGATCAGGATAACAACTTCTACCTGATACATTTGATTACTCTCATAGTAGGGAGAAGTTACATGTGAATCACTTCTAAGAGTTAAAGGGTTAAACTGTGATACGTGACTCGTCCAGAGTCTATCTCTTTACAATCGGATGGACTTTCGAAGCGGATTAAACGGCTAATAGCTGAGCAGAATTTATGCTCTGTATTAGTGTTATCCAGACAGATTTGATTTCCGGAGCAAGTAGTTATCTGTAGATCTTAATTATATTTTGTTTTTATTGTTGTTTTCAGAACACGCTTCCAACGCCGGATTATTGGGTATGCATAAAGCGATATTCATTACTCCTTGGTTTGAATATAACTTGTGGTACTGACCTAGTATTCTCTGTTTCAGTGGCGTTATTGTATTAGAATTGAAAATCTTGGACAAGAGACTGTACAACTTCGTGAGAGACATTGGAGAATATTTAGTCTGGCAGGCACATTAGAGACTGTAAGGGGGAGGGGCGTAGCTGGACAGGTAAGATTTGACGGGGGACAGCAGAATGCCTTTTAAAAGTTTGAAAATTTTTCATTGTATGTTTGTAAATTTATGAGGGAATTCGTAGAGATAAGAACCACTTTATAATGCTCTGTTGGGATTCTGTTTCCAAATGAATGTGACTATAGAAAAGTGGAAAACTTTTTCGTCGCTGCAGAGAAACGATTGTAAACTAAAAATGGTGTATTGGTGACTCGTCTAGACGACCTGGCGAAATGCTGGGTTTGATAGCAAAGTGGAAGAGCTCTTTTTTCGTCGCTGCAGCGAAACGATTGTAAACTAAAAATAGTGTATTGGTGACTTGTCTGGACGACCTCGCAAAATGCTAGGTTTGATTTCAACAACCTTCGTGTCCGTCACATGACACACTGGGTGCCTTCTCCTTCTTCTCATGAACCAGAAAACCCATCACAGGTTGTACAAGGTTAACTGAGTGTCCAAAGTACTTTGGGATCGCGTCGCTTCTGTTCCTGAACTCTCAGTGTTTGGTGTAGAAAAGTTGACCTAATAGATGCAAAACTAAACCTGAACCAATCACGAAATGGTCATTCGCGTTTTCACACGCTTCAGAACGTTTTTAGGGTTCTCATTGGCCTCTTCCAACGCGTTCCTTTGGACAGGCCATTGCGATTTCTTGGTTTGGGTTTTATATAATCGATCGAAATGCGCCTTTAGTTAACTGCCTTTATCCTATTACTTTTGAGTCAACGAGTCGGAATGTTTTACTGGGATGTACCAGAATCTGTTGATGAATCTTCGCTTCCTACTTACGTAAGTTGTTTTATGTCTTGATTTCTAGGAGCCTATTCTTTCGCCGCAACAGCCAGCTTTCCAGTACAGCAGTCACATATCATTACAGGCACCCAGTGGAAATATGTGGTAAGTGTGACAGAGCTTATGGCTAAGTATCAATCTCTGCTGAGTTATTTTACAATTGATTGTCGATAGTTTGTGCAATTTTCAGTTTAGTGACGGAAGTAATCCGCCGTTGCTTTGGTTTTGCTTTACTTCGCTGTGTGATTGGTCCAAAGGACTCGCGCCACTCTCTCAACCAATCAGAATAAAACCAAAACCAATCGCAACTTGGTCAGCGTTTTCCCGCCCTTCAGCATTGTATTTACTTTGAATCTTGATTGGCTCGTTGCCTTAGTTTCTTTTGTTCTGATTGGCTATTATGATTACTTTGGTTTTTAGTTTTACGCCACTCAGTGGAAATGCGCTCTGTCAGGATAAACTCTATTTGCTTGAGCTTCACTTCACCACCATCTCTTTTAGTGTTAAAAAATGACTGTCGCTATTTCCCAAACAGTCAGACGCAAATTAAAACAATACACGACATGGTCACGTATTCTTCCCCGCACTTCGCTTCAGTTAGAGAAGTATTCTTTAAGTTCTCGTTGGCTCATTCTTTTCGAATTGCGAGCTAAGCGTCAAAAGGTACCAATTGGATCTTGCTGGTCGAATTTTCTAGCCACCCGATATCACGAGCCTACCAATTTCGCGGAGCAGAGACTGAAGTGCGGGAAGACAACGAATGACTTTGTCGTGATTGGTGTTAGTTTTCCATCAGACTTGTTTGAAGATGGCGCAAGTTTTCTTGATCAATCTTTGAGGAAAGATAAGCAAAGCTAATACAATACCATTTTGCTTTCGATGCTCAGATGAAAATTGCTTTCTACTTTTACGTATTTATTTATTTATTCCTTTTAATTCATAAAATCCTGGGGACAAATGATGAAGAAATCATCCATTCATGTCTCAGAATCTTTACAGTGCTCTTAATTTAATCTTTATCTGTTATATACAACCCAATTTTATGTTGGAGATGTCCTGTAGCTGTTTTTCTCTTTTTCTTCGCTCTTCAGGGGTAAATATCGCTTCGAACGCTCAGACGGAAGTACGTTTGAAACTCCCATTCCTCCGTTTGCACTGGATAGCAGAGAAGAGGATACGCCTGATTCTCCGGGAGCTTCTTGAAAATGAATTTAGAAACATGATGCCCAGCTTAGCAGCCTTAATGACTGTTTCTTTTCAGTCAAGCGGGAATAGCGAGGCCGCGTGAGAGAATGGGGCGAAAGCGTTGGGAAAAAAAAGAAGAGCGGAAGAGAGGGATGGGGAAACAAAGGTCCAATTGCATTGTCTGTCGCAGGACTTCAATTGCGCAACTACGTAATTGGAGGAAATAGTGACGCAGAGCGAAACAAAGAAGGGAAGTTTGGGGCAGATCGCGTGAACCCGACCTAGGCTCCGTGCGTTTCTTGCTCTGTGGTAGTATCTCGCGCGCTCCGTATACAAACTTCAGTACTGGAACAGCCTGAAAATGTCTGTGCTCGTCTGTAGGATCTTCTCTTTCTTCCCGTGTCTTTCTTCCCGTTCCTTATCCCACTTACCGCTCCAATTGATTTTTTTTTTCTCTTAGTAAAGTTTTGGCTGAGATTTTGCTATTTTTTTTTTCGCTCTTTGCTTGCTATTTGCTCACTTTTCGTTTGCCGTTTGCACTCTCCTAACTGTTTTTTGCTCACTTTTCGCACTGACTCCCGCTTGGGTAAAACGAAATGGAAAGACTGCGCGCAAACTAAATACTTTTCTTCGCGTAAAAGTAAAAGTGAAACAACTGGTGTTTACTTCGTAACCAAACTAACGTATTCAATATTTCAAGAACTAGTCGCCATGGAATTCTAGAACACAGAAAAGTGGTCGTGACATAACAAACTCAGTGGGGTGTCTAAACATTTGGTATTATCATTGCATCTGGAAAAAATGTGAATATTGCTTATTGAGTGAAAGAAGCTGCATGTTAAAGCTGTTGACATCAGTTTAAATTTTTTGTACTAATTATGAAACAATTCCAATGAAGTTTTCGTGGCCTGACAGACATGTTTTGTGATTATGATGCCAATGACATGCGCAGCAACTGTCGCAATTGGGAGAAGCGTTGCGTGACACTCTTAGGCGATGCGTGGTATAATAATCGAGGCATCGTCGATTCTTCGTGTGGGGGACATGTACAGTCGTGGACAGCGTATTGCCCTCCTTAAAGCACTTAGGAAGGCACTCAAAGAACGAAACCTGTTATTTTGGTATCAATGAAATGAGGCAAACATTTCCAAACATGTATATTATTGTGCAATAGATGATAAGAGACTAGGCGAGTGTATCGCTATACGTGTGGTTACTTCAGTGGAATCATGGCGGTGAATACTTTGAACGAACGCCTTTTGATCTTGTTAGTTTTTTGGTGCCCGACTTTTCCGTTTCTCCCTGATAAATGGAGGAACAGAATTTTTTCTTTTGAATTCTTTTATTCAATTTTTCATTTTTCCTGGCGCTTTGGATAGGAAAAGAAAGGAGGGAAGATATTACTTGATTTAGAAAGGACCTGTGATCTATACCATTCAACATTCGAAAGAGACAAGAATTTCTCTTTCCGGATGTTTTGTTTTCGCCGTTCTCAATCCATGATCAAATCATTAAGTTCCAAAGTAGCAAAAGCGAGTACTACTTTCATCCGAAACTGCATTAGAACTGCCCCTTTAAAATTCATTTGAAGTGAAAAGAAAAGAAAATAGAATTTTTGTGTTGTAAAACTGACTCATACAGACCTTGTTGGTCGATGAAATCGTATTTATCTTCCAATGTTTTTCAAAGAAGATCTTACTGCCTGTCATTATTTAATCATGAATTGGTGTATTTCTGATCAACCAGGCTACGAAGATATGAAAGACTGATTCTAAAAATAGGCGGAATGGTGTCATCCTGACGTTTAATAGATAGCTACCTTAATTTTTATGTAAAGAAAAATTAAACATGAAGCCTCTTTGTAGTGATTTAGTTTCGTCTACTGTTTAAGGAAATTTGGGAGAAAATTGCTGTTTTATTTCAAGTGAGCAAAGAAGGTTGTGAAGGTTAAAGTTATTTTTTTCCTCCGATGTTTTTTTTGGGCTCCTCTTGGCGGAGTTTCTCAGATCAAATTTGGTATACTACGTTTGTTAAGAGCTTTTAAGGGAGCAAATAAGAGAGGGTTGACCTTTGGAGTCTCCTCATAGAAATCTCCGTTAACAGCAGACTGGTCTGCTTCCTATTCATATCCGTCACCAAAATGAAATTTGCTGTGTTATTTGATGAACGGGTTAATCTTTGACAAGGAAAAGAGGACAAAATTCGTCCAGCCATTAGTCTATCATCTCGGTTAGATGATTGATAAGAAGATACTCCCACAGCTCTATAGCTTTTCTCAAATTTCAGGTACCACTCTGGGCTTTTTAAAGTCAATTAACCTTATCCTGCACGGGTTGAGTGGACACGAAAACTATAAGATGTAATTTCAGTTTAGTTTGCCGGATTGGTGCTAATCTTGTTTCAGGCTAGGTAATAACAAATGGTTTGAGAAAGCTGAGTGAGAAGAAAGAAAACACTTTTAGAACTATTAACCCTGAAAATGGCCTACTTTGCATCAAGCACCTTCATCTGAGAAGACCTGCCTTCGGCAGCTGTTGTTCAGTTCAGTTCTTGCGCAACCGCTATGCGTGGACGTTGGATTTTCTCCGATATGCAATTTTCGAACATCACGTTTCGCATATATCATCTCGGAACGATATACGTGAATTTGATATAATTAAAATGGTAAGAGACTTCGACGTAGGCGAAAACGTCCAAAAATTGTGCACGTTGTCGGAACTATTCTGGAAGAATTTATCATTCTTGAAAACACAGTTTTGCACCCCTCGCAACCAAGCGGCACTCGATCAACTGTCTCCAGTCTTCGCTCTGTCATTTGTTTCCATCTGTGCGTTGAAACTGAAAGGTGTCATCTGTAAAAGCAATGATCCTGGCAGAAGATCATTGCTTTACTTTATTATCAGTCCCAGGTAAATAAAGGTCAAATTTCACTAAAACTATATAAGGTATCGTGTTTATCAAATTGGATACAAAGATGTCGAGGTCTGAATTAGGCGGACAGCTTCGTATTTGATCGATGGCGCTCTCAAAGCGAATATAAGTTGTTTTGGCAATGTATGCGAGCCATTTTGGCTCGGCCGGAAGCAATTATCATATCGAAAAATAAAAAAGACTGGCGTATGCTTCTAATTGCTATTGTAACCGTATCAGAAAATTTCCACACGCATATTCTCTTTAATAGGCTTTTACAATTGGCCTTGGATGAGTGGGGAGATTTTGAACCACAATCAATCCTTAAAGTGCGTGATGAGATGTTTGATTAATTTCACATCTAAGGTTATTTCTAGTCTTCCAGAATTTTCTTTAGGTATGTTTCTATTGCCATTATTTTCTATTCTTAGTTTCGACTAATTTAACTGTGTTGCTTTCCCTTTTTTCTTTCCCTTCTTAATGACGGACTACTCAAAGAAAATTGGATTTTCGCTGTCTTAGGTAGCTTTTGTTTATACGTGTGGTGAAGAAGTCAAGATGTTCCATTGTCTTAGACATCGGTATTATGTACATTCCTCCTACTCAGCACCAGCTTTGAATTTGTTTCTTAATTTTTTTTTCAATTCAACAGTTATCCAAAACGAGCTCTGGAAATTTATTGGCGTCATTTTTAACTCCTCGTTCTGGAATTAGTTTTAAATAGACAGCGACACGTGATCTAAGTTCATCTGTAAAACTGCTAGCAGTCTAAATGGGCCCCTTTGTGCTAATGAGATTTTCTTTTATCAGGAACACAAATTGATCTCCATTGCTTAGCGACGCCTGCGTCACTCACTTAATTTAAAAGACTTAGCTATAATAAATTAGGACTCTTTTCTTCTTTTGTAATAATCTTGGTTGTGGTTTTTGCGGTTTTAAGGAAAGGGCACTCCAGCGAAAGACAGCTTTTTGTTGTTTGAATTAGATATTAATTTGTTAATTTTCTTTGGTAGGGTTTTAAAATATTCCGTGTTCCGTGGCGTTGTCTTCCAAGTATATCTTGGTAAATATATGCAGTATTTCCTTAGTAAGATCGTGCAGTCATTCAGATCCGCAATTCGTGGGTGTCCTGAAAAATTCTTCAGCAAACTTTTTGTCGCCTTGGCAAATGAGTTATGATTAATGCAGAACGTTCTATGAGTCCTGAAAGGGTACTATTCTAAAATAATAAGCGTGAATTTAACTCCCTCTCTCTACATCTATCTGCGTTGTACCTATTTTTAGATCGCGCCGGGAGGCATTATTTTGTAACAGCCAAATATGGCGATGTTGTCCAAATATAGCACAAGCGGGGTTCTCTTGTTTGTCAAGTTCACTGCTGCGCATGACCAAAGTTAGTTTACTCACAACACTCATCATGGATATGGAATTTTATAGAATCGTTTAATATCATAATTACAAGTATTCGTTAAGCTTGTTTAAAGTTAACGTCCGAAGCGCTGTCACCGATCTATTGTTGCAACGTCCTCATCGTGTGAGACGCATAGATTTGCCACAGAAATGCACGGAGGTATGGACTGGAATCGCGAGCGGGAACGCTCTGCGGCGACCAGAGGTGTTTTTATTTGCAATTATTTAGGTAACTGAAGTGAAGAGATTGTGGTATTGTTAAGCCGCAAAATGCCATCCTCCAGTATACCGGTCCCAGATAGGGATCTGGGAAATTCTCCGTCTTCGCGAAAAGGTAACGTAGAGGATTTACGAAGGCACAACAACAAACTAAAGTCAGATTTGGAAGCGGAGCGCGCCAAGGTTCGTCAGGTTCTGCGTGATAAGTCTGCAGAGTTGAAAAGGATCCAGGACGGGTTTGAAAAGGAAAAGCAAAGAGCGATCGAACAGGCGACGAAACGATTGATTACTGAACATGCGGCAGAGCTAAAGAAAGCTCGAGATAACACTGCTAAAGAGAAAGATAACGAACTTCGACAAGTGCTTAAGTTCAAGGAGGAAGAAGTTAAGACTATGAGGCAACAAATTACTGATGAAAAAGAGAAAAACAGACACGCCGAGGAAGAGTTAAGAAGGGTTTTAGTCAATAGGAGTAAGGAAGGAGAAGATCATTCTGAAGTGGAGCGAAAATTACGCAGCGAGATTGCTACACTCAAAGAACAGAAGCAAAAGGCTGAGGAACTATATCGAGCCAAATCTTCAGCGGACAACGAAAAAGCTGAACTGATACGTCGCTTGAAAGCCGATCACGAACTCGAGCTTCAAAAATTTGTGAAAGACTCGAAACGTGAATCAATTCATAGTTTACAACAGAGGAGGTTGACCGAGAAGGCATTAGAAGAAAAGGAGCATGAACTGGCTTACAAGGATCATTTAGCAAAGAAACTCGAAGCCGAGAAGGACGACCTTCAAAGAAGATTGTCTGGAGATGTCGAGATGTTGCGGCGATCAACTCTTCGGACGGGCGCTTCGTTTGATTTAGGTGCCAGCGATCGCCTGGATGAAAGCGTAAGTATCGATTATGCATGGAAATTTGTTGCCTTTCTTCTGTAAAAAATGCAATAACGCTTGAATAATTTTTGGTTTTTGTTAGGTTTGTTGTGGATTTAAACTAATTAGGATGGCTTCCTGCCGCTCTATATCGACAAAGTGCAAATTGATTTCCTTATACACGTCCCAATTGTCTATATTTATAACAACAACGTACAAAGCCCTGCTTATTCTTTAGTTTGATTTCTAATCGTGTTTATATCTGGTTTTTACAATCAGTGATACTTTGTTGGTTTAAACGGTGTTTTACTTCCGCCGATATGTCGTGAACAACTCGATATAACGTTCAAATTGGATTAGAGAAGAGTGGATGATTGAAAAGATATAACAACTTATGACACACAAGGCGTTCTCTCTTGTTATTTTGTTAATCACGTCTTTAGAAATTTGAAGTCTTAAATGGTACAGGGATCTTTCCTTTCCTGGTTGAAAAACTATTATAATAATTTCTTAGTAGAAATTTAGCTCATAGAAATCAATATTCTGGATAACAACAGAATTCTGCGTAACAGAGGTATTGATATTAGACCGACGTCCAATGAAGGCTTTTATGGGTTAAGACGAGCTGAGGAAACTTATAAAAGCACCCATTAACACATAACTTTTAAAATTTCTATACTCAAGGGATTTTTTTACCGAAAATTGTTAACATGAATTTGCTAAAATTCAGTATATTATTTGTAAAGATATTGTTTGTTTTTTCGGCTTGTACCTCACCTCAATATTAAATTGTTCGGGTAGGTAGTAGGTTTCCCCTTAAGAACAGTTCATTTCAACCTCTTGAAGGTTAACAGTAAATAGAAAATACTTTTGAATGTTATTGCAAACATGAACAAAATGATTTTTGTAAGGAGTAGTGTAAGGCTGATTTAGTGGTATGGAAGGGTTATGCTAGACATCTTTTATGGTTATCTTTTAATGACCTGTGTATCCCTATTTAATCAAGTGTTTTTCATTTTGTGGCCTTCATTGTTAATATTTTTCATTGTCAGTACATTATGGTGCATACTTTTCCAGTTGCATTTTTTTTTTTTAAGTACAAATTTACCAGAATTTTTTTAAAGTCAAACTACTGCATGATAGCATATTATATTTATATCATATTCACTTTTGCCAAAATGGCCACAATGTATCTCATTTTGATTATAAATTTTGTTCAAAAGTATTGCTCAATTGGCAAATAGTGCATTTACAATTTTGCAGTGTTAATTAAGTGAGTGGGAAAGTTTTACATAACGTGGGAACATGATCTTTCTTTAGTAAGTGATAATGGTTTTCATATGGCGTCAGCAGGAGAAAGCTTTGAAAACAGGAAAAAAAAAGCATCCATGCTGATGGCACTGACTCCTAGTTTTCTGTAAGATTCTGTTTAGGCAAGTATAATTATAATATGAGTGTGCAAATTGTTATTTTGCTATCAGCTTAATTAAGGATATTTCTTCTCCAAAGCTTTCAAACAATATTTGATTATATCTATTGCTTAAGTGCTATCTGTTCTTTATATTGGTTGCCCTCCTCATATTTTTGGCCTCTATTATCATTTCCTTCACTTCCCCCATAATTTAAAGCCACACACACCCGAAGGTTTTTTTTTTGTTCATCATATTTCTTGCCTTTTTCACCTTCTTTTTATCAGGTTTAAGGTTTACTTCTTTAATAGGTACAAAAGTTTAGTAATCTTTGTGATTGTTTTTTTTTGCTGCCATAATCATAGAGATACAGTGGCTATTCATGGTTTGAGAAATGGAGTCTTTATTCTTCCATTTGGCTATTTTCCCATTCCATTTTCATTTGGGTGTTATCTTTTAATTTTTTCACTTTTTCGTGTTGTTAATTTTTTTCTCAAAAGACATATGGTGGCATGGCTTTTTTTAAGCATTTAGTTGTTCTCTGTGTTTCTCAGATAACTCTATTACTTTCAATGGACAATAATTTTCTATTACATTTATGTTCATTGATCCATGATATTTGTAATAATCACCTCTCTTAATCAGCACAGTGTCCCTTTGCAATTTGTTCCTCCATTTTGCATAATTCAAGGGTAATAACCCCAAAATAGTTTCTATTTAAGGAGCAGCAGGAAGTTTAAACCAAGGTGAAAATTATAGGCAAAGTACTCTTAAAATGGGAATAGAAATACAATTGAAGTTGATATAGAAACTTTTTTTCCACAGCCCCTTGTGCGAAAAGATAAAGAACGAGAATTGAAAAAGAAAAATGCTGAATTACAATCAAAGGTGGAAAGCTTAGAGAAAAAGTGTGCTGTACTGGAGGTTTGTAATTTTTACTTTGTGATATTATATTAATAAAGACTGTGCGTTATGAAATTCTCAACTAACCAACTATTAGCAAAAGATATATTCGTTATGTGTATTTTTATTTTTTTTTACTTGAACTTATATAATGTTTCAGTTTACTATGAATTTCAGATCAGTATAATTTCAGCTTAGTCTGGATTGTATTTTCCCTCTGTACTAGATACACTGCTTTTGTCTTTAAACAAAGAAAAAACTTTCTTGAATTCATTTTAACCTTAAATCATTTAAAACTACCACAATGTTGATAACATGGAATAGTGCTGGGCTAACCAGGATGATGATATCTGATTTGTTTGTCATTGAAGTTTTGTTATCTTAACATACAGTGTAGAAGGGTTTGTTTATGAAGTCTGAATGTTAAGGGAACAAGTGTGTTAATCAAGAATGTCTAGTGTTTTCCTGTTTTCACGACGAAGAAATGGCTGTTGTCTCTTAAGGAAGACTTAATCCTTTAACTCCCAAGATCTGATTGTTAATTCTCTCCTCTAGCTGCTAAAGAAGTAATATCTCGATTGAAGAAGTAAATTGGTTGTGAGAACTTGGTGCTAGATCAAGATAGCAGCTTCTATCTTATAAGTGTTTTGCTGAATAATATATGGATATATATGGAGAGGTTTAAGGTTTAAGGTTTATGGATATTACAAGGAGAGGGTCTATGAATTGTAACTTCTTTGGTTACATTCATTAAATCTGCAAACCAGAGTAGCATCAAACTATGTCTGAGAGGTTTCATGTTAAACACTTCTTGGAGTCTAAGCCATGGTTGGGGAGTAATAGATGTCTTTGTATTTAATGTCAGCATTTTCTCAAAGGAAAATAATTTTCATGTGATGTACAGTTGAAATATGTTTGTGTGGAGGCGGTTGAGTTGTACTTCTTCAGGTCTCCATTTAGCTTTTGTAAGACTTGAGGATAAGATGTGAATTCCTGTACAATTTATGCAGTTTTTGAAAACTCCTTTTATTTCGGCTTAAACTCAATGTACTTGTATATTTATGCGTCCCTTTATTGGGAAAAGAACTTGACAACACTTTGGCATGAGTTGTGCTTGGGAAAGGTCTCTACTTTTCTACGGAAAAAGACCACAAAAATGGGTAACCACAACTAGAAAATAAAACCTTTTATTCAAAGGAGTAGGGTTGCACTAGTGCAAGGTGACTGTCAGTGTCTAGACACATTGAGAACTGAAGTAGACCAGAAACTAGATGTACTATTTCAAAGATGAGTGTGAGGGTTTCATCAGGGTTTTTCACATGTTGTCCGCAAGTTTGTTGTATTAATATTTAAATTAACAAATGATGCCACTAGAATGTGATCCTTTATCAAACTCAAGGGTTTGATATTTATGAAACCCATGGATAGCAAGCAGCATGCTTGGAAAAAAAGATTTTGCAATCATATGTCCTGTTGAAGTTGCAGTTTCAATCGTTGAAGAGAGTTTCCATGATTTGAAAAAAAAGCATGAAATTGTGAGAGATACCAGCATGTTTTCAAATTGATCATGTTTCATATTGACAAAGTTTCACTGATAAGTGATGACAGTTACAGCTGTATCTTCTTAGGTTCACACCTGGAAGTGTCCCTTGACAACAGATTTTAAAAAAGTAAACATTTTGGAAAACATTTTCCAAGTGTGACCCATGCAGTGGGTTAAAATATTAGCTTGTGTTATCAAAGATATTTTTGAAAGGAAGTTGAAAGAAGTGTATGCTAAGAGTTCTCCTCTCTTAAGGGATTATATCATTAATATGATCTCACTAGCTTTCCAAGGTAATTGTCATGAAGATACTAAATTTCAAAACTATGTACACATACTTGAAACAACTTCTGTAGAATGTTATTTCCAGTGATTAGAGTGTGATCAATGCTTTCCAGCTGAAAACAACATTTTCCTTAAAGGAACATTTTTTTTTTACCATGTTATGGGTAAAATGTTTACCGTAATTTCCGGTCGATTACCCGCGGGTAATCTGTTGATTTTGCATTAAATCCGCGCCACTGCGGGTAATAGGGAGGTGCGGGTTATGTGACAATTTTAAATTCTTCTGGAAGTTGAATTGAAAAAATTTCTCACCTACCTGCGTTTCCACCTCTCAAATGAATTTTATTGTATCAAAAGTGCCACAAAGCGGCACGAAAACATGATGCCAACTCGAGTTTATTTCACGCATAATTAGTTGCGTGACAAACAAATTTTTATCGGCACGCGTGAAAACAAAACCTTGATGGTGACAAAAATAATCCAAGGATATCCGGCGCATCAGTAACAAATTTCCAGTTTTCACTAGCTTGAGCTAAAGAGAATTTTCCCGTTTTAAGGGACTTGTTAGGCCCAGTAGAACAGGAGATATCGATTTTTTTGAGAAATTGCCGACAGTAATTTTAAATCCCAAATGCATCACCAGAATGTTGAAAATAATAGGTGCGAAACTTAACTAATTTCGCTCTGAAAAAATATTTTAACGACAAATGAACAATGGATATTGCTCATTACGCTCCTACATGCTATAAAAAGGTAACTGACTGAATAAGAATTATAAACCTCGATCATTCGCGATAAGTGTATCCACGAGTCACCAATTAAGTTAAAATGCCTGCTGTGAAACGCCCACGTCACAGTTTTACGTTTGATTATAAGCTTAGAGTAATAACTTGCCGATGAAATCGGTAATAGAGCAGCAGCAATAATCAATCAATAAAGTATAAGCTAATATTGACACAGAATTGTGCACATGTCTGAATCGAAAGACTGAAATGTATCCCCTTAATGTCACGTTTTCGCCACCGAAAAAGTTGAATAACAACGTGCGGGTTATCCACCGGTGCGGGTAATCCGTTGACTTTTTTTTTCGCCGTATGCAATAATCGGCCGGTGCGGGTAATCGGCTGTGCGGGTAATCGACCGGAAATTACGGTATATACAGATAATTAAGTGTAATTTTTTTCAGCTGTATGAAAGGTGCCTTCAGGTCATCTGGCTTGCCAGATTCAAATGTTTGTGCCTGTTGAAGGGGCTGCAGGGACTGGTGTCTGATCTTTATTTTTGAAATCTTTATCACTATTTATTTTTCAGAAAGAGTCATCTAAGAGTGGAAACCTGAAAGCAACTTTTGTGGCAGAAGAAAAAATAAAGAAACTCAAGAAGAGGAATTCTGAGCTTGTGTCCATTGCACGACAGTTGGAGGAAAAGGCAAAGAAACTTCAGGAAGAGAAAGTTCAGGCTCAAGTATGTACAGGCTGAAGTTCAAAATTCTCTTTCATTCTTTGTTACTTGTTACTTGATTGTGTTGTAAGGATAAGTGGTGTAAGTTAAATCAGTTAATAAAACCAAATTATCTTGTGTTATAGGGGGTTCTCTCACATTTGTGAATAAAAAATTATGGATGTGCTATAGATGATGTTACAGGATTGACTATGAGGTTCAATCAAAGAGTATAATTTGGTAAATTGAGCCAAAGCAACCCCAGATTACTCTTGACTTTAAACTGAATGCTGCTTTATCCCATGTTTCTCAGAAATTGGTGGAGGAGAACAGTTCTAACAGTGCTGGGGTGGAGCATGTGAAAAAGATGTATGCAAGACAGAGAGCCAAGGATCTTGCTGAACATGCTAAAGCATTGTTGTCTAAGGAAAAAGAACTGGATGAACTGAAAAAAGAGATATCAACACAAAAGAATGGTCCAGATTTCCCGGTATGTGTCATGATTTTAATAGTTATAGTTGAAAGTTGAGAAAAGTGTGCATGTGTACCATTCTGGTTTTCTTTGTGGTTATATTGAATTCATCATCATGGTCTGAAATGGAATAAGAACCAAACTGATTTGAAAGATTAAAAAAAAAAAAGAGAGAGAGAAACAAGATGCACATTTTGAGGAAAGTTTAAGACCTTTTCAGCTTGATATGCTAGGATGGAAACATATCTTTCTCTTAGAACTGATCTGTCTTCAAGCACATTTATGTCATGGGCAACAATGTCTAAAAAAATTATTGATGGAACCAAAATTGAAATGTTGTCCATCATGTGGTGTGTAAAATCTGCATCCTGTTCCTTTCCCTCAGAACCTTTTCATCAGTCCCAAATACAGGACAAGTCTAAACTTAATTGGGTTTCAAAATTGAGTGTTTTTAGGTGATTATGATGCATAGGTAGTTGGGGAAAGAGCTGTCAAATTTTGTGCAACTGACATTTTTACATGCATCTTGTCTTCGTACTGGACATGTCCATGTATTAAAAGTTGAGCTAGCTAATTGAATGAGATATAGGTAAAGTTGCTGCATTGTGGTAGACTTCTATTTCCAGGCTTCCATCTTAGCCTCATGACCATGCTTTGTTTAATCCATTATTTGGATGTCAAGCATGTAACTACTGTATAGTAAAGAAGATGATCAACCACTAGGATAACATTAATTATTTGCTGAACATTGGTCACAAAATCTTCACTGACTGAAAACATTGACACTCCGTGTTCATTAAACATGATATTTCATTTCCAGTCAAAGTTCATTCCAGAACCATATGACACTCTCTTGAATATCATCAAGATATTATTACACTTCTCTATTCTGGATATTTAATCATGGTGTAAATATAATCAAGTAGAGGAAGTCTTTATGTGCTCTGCTCTTATATCTGAGATTATACTGTTTCTTGATTTTCAAGAGTCCTTTTCTTTAGTTACAGCATGCTTTGGAAGAACACTGATTTACATTTTAAGTGAGAGGGGGTCTATATTGCTCAAAGTGCTTTTTTTTTTTTGATATTCAAAGAATGCAATCTTGTGGTTTGAGTCACAATTATTGAAGGCATGCTAAATTTGATCATTTGAATTGGAAAGCAGCCATGTTAAAGCATCGCCTGAAGGCAAGGAAAGGCAATCTTGTTTCGTCCAAGCCCAGGAAAGAGGTACTGCACTGTTGGAGGAAAGGAAACAGGGTTTTTCTATTTTGCGATGGAAAATATGTAGAACTTCCAGAAGCTTTCAACAATTTAAAATATTTTCATAACAAGTTATTGAAGTGATTCTCTGGGATGTGTGCTCTTAAAACAAATTCCACATTAATGCAGCAAAAAGAAGTTGAAGTTTCTATAGAGTTGTGCTCTACGATGGTATGAATTTTGTTGAATTTCTTTATTGAAGCCTTGTGTTGTTGTATGAAATCTGTTGATATTGTTTCTAATGATAGAGAATTATTGATGGTTACATGTTTTTGTGTGTGAGATCTACCAAAAATATCTCATGACCATGATGTATTTCTTATGAGCACAGAAATAAGAAAAATTTTGAGTCAACCTTGAGGATTCAAAATTCAGCCAGTTATGATTTCAGTTTTAATACCTTTGGCTGCTAATATAAAAAGATTGTAGTACTGTTAGGAAAGTTAGGCTGTGAATGTTTATTGTTACACAAAAAGACTATGTATCTTTATTTAATGTTGATGCAATAAGGATAATTAAAGGCTAAAAGTAACTTAAGGTTTACTTTTCCAAAATTCATTCCATGTGCTGTCTTATCATAGAGGTATCACTAGTTTCACAACAACATTTGTTAAAGTTATGCGTTCCAATTTACTAGCAAGATATCTAGAAATATTTATGGCCTCGCATCAGAAATAATTCATGGTGTTGCCCATTTAGGAAATTGTTATTTTCTGTGGAAGAGAAGCTCCATATCTTTACTAAAAGCGTTTTGTTTTACCTTAACCATTATAGAGCCTCAGGTGAATCTAGTTACATTTGGTTAAGATGTCTTAAGCTTTTGACAATTTGGCACAGTTCATACGCAGTGTTATTTTTTTGCCTCTGAAAGCAGAGAGTTACACCTATGTCTCAAAATGCTACATGAAGAGATGATTGAAAATATCAGTAATTTACTTATTTCTTCTTATCCTGGCCCCCGTTTCCCAAAGAGTGGTTAACACTATTGAATGGATAAATCTCTGCCCAGTTGATAGTGCAGCAGGTTTTGTTAACCTTTATCTGCTGAATACTGAGTTATCTGTTGGATAGCATTACGGGCCCCTTCAACAACTAGGCTCTGGACAATAGTAAGTCCAAACATTGGTAACAGACTCAGAGGAAAGAATATTCATAATTCTGTTGTAAACTTTACTCCATGTTGTAACATACATGTAAGGATGTTTATGATCCTTGTATTAATGATAGTTCCTTGTATTGATTCTATAATATTGGATGGTGGATAACCTATTTCAGGTGGCATTTATCTTTTGTTGTGGTTAAAGATTTATCTTGTCATTTGCACTCCACTAGTAACATTTTTAATCCTTCTAATCCCAGTAAGTCTGTTTGTCTTAAACAGTTGTTTTAAATTTTGTTTCAATAGTGCATTCAATGGCAATACTGTTAAACTATTGGTAAACTCTCAATATTTTGGTCTTGGTTTGTCTTTTGGTATCATTGGCAGGCAATGAATTAAGCTCTAATTTGTTTAATGAGAACCATTTGGAAGGATAGTGAGTGGGAACAATCAGCACTTGCAGTGCATCTTATTGAGCTTTCCTCATTTGGTTATGGGTATTCTTGCTCACCCTCTTACTCTGAGCTGGTTTTCACCTTTGATGAAGGGCATTTTTCAATCCTGGATCGTTACTGTAGTAGATGACCCTCATCAGTAGAGACAAAAAACTTTTCTAGACAAAACTTAGTGTAATTGTGACTGTTATCACTGTTCATTTTTTTTACAGCAAGAAAAAGTTGAAGAGCTTCAATCCATAATTCGTCAGTCAGCCAAGGAGAGGTTGTGGCTTGAGAGACAAATTTCCAATGGCGATTCTTCTCGTGAACCTAGTCCTCTGCTACTGTCAGGTGATCTTGCTTCCGAAATCAAGAAGAAGACTGAAATACTCAGCAGGTTGGAAGATGAGAACAATAATTTAAAAACTTCAGTGGTTCAACTGCAAAAGGCTGAGGCTGAAAGCTTGAAATTGGTAGGTTAAGGAATTAACGTTTTAGATCACTTGTGTTGGATTTATATCCTTCATTGTTTTGTTTATTGATGTGAAATATTTTCCATGTGTATGTGTGGTACTGTTCAGTGCAGCTCACCTATCTAGTTAACTCCATTTGAAAAATTCCCCTTTTTGGAAGTTTATGCTCTAAATTTAATTTCATTACGTATACTTAAAATGAATATGGGAAGTTAATGTGTTAGCAAAGTGAATTATTACTTGTAATGCCTGTTTCTTTTCTAAAGGTATCATGTAGGGTGTCTGATCTTTCGTAGTTTAGTGTTTGCAAAGAATTTTACTCACATGAATTAATATTGTGGTACACTGTAAATTTTAGGTCAGAACAGAGGTAGTTTTCTTGTTTTACATCTGTCTGTTTGTAAATGAAATGACAACTTGCCTAAGCTTAACTGAAGAATTCTTTTTCTGTCCAAAAAATTAGTGAAATTATAATATTTATTGTGTGTCAAATGTTGACACAAAATCACCAATGCAAGTGAAGTGATTTTGTTGATGAAAATTGCGTCATATTTGATGTTACTTATAGATAATGATGTCTGGATCTGTACAAATTTGTAATAGCTGTGTGTATCTCCCTTTCCTTCTGATTTGGTGGAAAATGGAAAATGCAAATGAATGAAAAGATTGGAGTTGATATTGTGTAGTACACTTGTTTATGTGGGAGGTATGCTAATACTGGCTTTCCATCCAAAGCGCCTCTCAAGAGGGTTATGTCATGTAATAATGTATTAGGTGAATGAATAAATTTGATTTTCAGTAACAAGTTTTGAAAAGGGAGACCATGTCTTAGAGATACGGTATTAACCGTTGCTTATACATGGCAGTAATTTTATACCCTGAAGTAGTCTGCAGGTCATAATGACTTGATCTACATGTACCATCACTAGGAGATCTTGAATGGGTTTTGTGGTATTTTTTCTTGTGGTGAATAAATTTGCTAAAGCCTTATGTTTCTTTCATTGATTAATCTCATTTGGATTGCTATAGTGGCCAAACTGTGCATTTTGTTCACTGCTGATTAAGAGAGTTACTAAACTGAAATACTTCAGCAGGTGTTTATTGTTAGCTACCAGGGGATGCAGACTTTTGCTATTACATTTTTGTTTCATTATTTACTAGTTTGCTGGTGGGTTTTGGCTTATTAATTATTTATTTATCAGGGGAGCTCATCCTGTATGTGAATGTTGAATATACACTAGAAGGTTTACTTTGGTGCTGGGATGTTTGGAATTGATAAGAATGCTATTTCTGCAGGCAGAGGAGCTGAAGGAGAAAGAGAAGGAAAACCATAAGCTTGTGAGTGACTTAGAGGAAAAACAGACAAAATGTTCCAAACTGGTAAATTACTTCTTTTCTTCTCAAGCATTGGATTTTGAATTTTTGTGTGGCTCTTTTAATTGGCCATTCATGGCATAATATGTAGGTTGCAATAGCTGTTATGGCATTCTGCACCAGTGAGACACCTTGTTAGTGTTGCCAGCAATTAATATAATGTAGTATTCATATTATCAGAGTTGAGGTGTATGTTGGAAATTCTAGGCTGCAATGTTCAAATTGTCTCTGTAACATGGATGTATGTTTTCCTATTGGAGAACCACAGCACTGTAATATTTTGAACCACTACTTTTGAATCACATATTTCTTACTGCACTGCTAGTCAATTCGTAAAGAATGTGAGAACAGCAGCACTCCACTTTGCTCTCCCTACTGAAAGGCTAACTAGTTAGAGCTTTAATTATTTTAAGTTGCCATTAATTAAGACAAGACAAAACTCCGTAATGGCAGGTCTGTGTAAACATTATGTCTTCTATAAAGTACAAATTACATTTGATCCTATTTTGCATTGCTGGTGAAGTTCTTTTTTTTTTTTTTTGAAGAAAATCTTAACATTAGCTTTCTTTGGAATCAGTTGCACTTTTAAGGGAGTTACGACGAGAGGAAAGCAGTTGATAAGTTATTGTTTACCTGTAAATGTAAATTTTGTGTAGGATTCATTAAATAATTTTTTCATGATAATATCGTAAAAAAAAATTATTAAATGAATCCTACATTGATTGTGGACTGAGAACTTGGTGAAGCTTCCCACCCCTGAAAAAAGTAGTTATATCTAATACTTGAAATGTAGGTGCAGAAATTTAAGATGAAGGCATGGTAATGATGGTGATATATTAACATACGGCCACTAAGAATTTAACTTATGATTTTGTGTCAAGTTTTTATTTGATATTTTCATGTATGTGGGTGTTTGCCTTTAGCTTTCATTATCAATGTTAACGGATACTTATAGCAATGAAGCAATGATGGTATCTTTTGTGTTGGAAGGCTTTCTTGCATTTTTCAGAGAAAAATATTATTAATCAAAGTGCTGTATGTTAAAAGAATTCATCAAGACTGAAAAAAAAAATGAGGCTTAAAACTCTGTGGTTATCTCTTTTGAAATAAGACTATTTTCAATAATTTAATAATTTTGGTTGTTAAACCAGGTTGGATTGTTCATGCAAAGTATGGTTTTTTTTTTGTGTGATTAACTCAAAGAGCATACATAATGACGCACACAAATTTTCTGCAAACACTGCTGAAACTGCTTTGTTCAATTTTCTTGATTGTTGACATCAACACTTACTGCTTTTATCAACATTTTCTGATGCAACCTCTTTATGACCCATACCAGCCAGTAAGCTTTCTTTTTTCTTTTCCCTGCCCAGTACCCTTTGCATCCCAAGGGTGTTGATTTAAAATCTGCCCAGTCAGATCTCAAAGGAAATATCACGTCATCACCAGATCAAATTGGCCAAATCAGCATTTTGTGTCCACTTTTTGGATGCTGAAATTCAGAGTTCTGAGACATGATTACAATCTCTCTTTCACACCTTACCTACACCCCAGGAACCTCTGGAGAGCTAGCTCACAGGCTACCCAAGACTTGGACATAGGACCTCAAGTCCAAATTGAATCCAGTATTCCAACCACTTAGCCCCACTCTCACTCCACTTGAGACCATTAATGTCAGTTTACACAGTTGTAAAGTGTCTGGTTTTTTAATTAATATGTTTTAAATACCTTGGAAATTTACCTTGGAAAATGTTATTTTATAAATAGGAACATGAAAGAGAACGATTTGCTGCCAAATGCACCATGCTTCAGAAGAAGAATGCAGAAATGACCAAAAAGATGGAAGAATTAGAAGAGGTAGATCTTTGATTTTTAACTTGTAGGAACATTTTTTTATGTATTACTTGATCTGTTTGAAGATTTTGTGCTCTGTGCTTTACTTAAACCATGGTTTACTTTTAAATGTACTTACATAGACCTGTCTCAACAGGCACAATAAAGAGCCTCTCTAGTAAATTAATTTATGATCTAAGGTACATGTATCTGCTGAATACAGGTTTGTTTTAGATAGACTGCAGGTATTGCTTAAGGTTTTGGAATGCTTGGCAAAATTACATTATTGCTCTCACTAGCTGTTTGCACAGTATATATTTTGGAGAAAGCAGGTGTTTAAAATGTAGATTTTCTAGACTTGATGTTCACTTAAATGAGGGTGTTTGCAAAATATTGGGCACTGGTAGTGCAAGTTTAATTCACAATTATTCTGTGAGCAGGTGTTGGATATTGGATATGAGAGGGTAAATAGCCAGTGAGTCACGTAGCACTGAGTTGGCTAGAACCTATCATGTATCCAACAAACCTTTATGGAATAATTATTTTATTGAATTTCATTAAATCCTGAATGCTTGGATATTTAGGGTCTTTTTTCAGCCTGCAGCAGTTGGTGCAATGCATCTCCATGCAAGGTGACTTAGAATATGAGCTGATAACCCAAGTTGAGAAAACCAATCAGAACACTAGAAATGCAATATTCAGAATTGAAAATTTAATAATGTATCATATGCAATAGCTCAGAGATAAAAAAAAAATGTTATGACTTTTTTATTACAGATGGAAGAGGAACTCAGTAATGTAAAGGAAAAACTTGAGGTTTCAGATGTGAAGTGTGGCCTGCTTACAGATGAGTGCAACAGATTAAAACACCAGCTGGAAGGGCTTCTTCATGTTAAGGAGGTGAGGTTTGATGTAGCTTGCCCTCTTTTCTGTAGCAAGAAGTGACTAGGAGTCCTGCCATTCCCCCACCCCATCCCCTCTTCTGGGGATGCAACACCCTCCCATTACAAGTTACTCTAAACAGTTTGTTAGGTTCCCTGATAGTAGACTGATTTCCAATTACACACATGCATGGAGAGAGGAAGAGTGAGTCAGAGTAAACTGCCTTCTTCAAAGCAACAACCCAGTGATTTCTGGTAGGCCTCTAAGCCAGAATTTTTCACACATTAGACCATTAGTTCTCCTGCCCATCTTAGGGAAGAAGCACATTGAAATTCCTCGGCTACTCTTTGTCACATAAGCTAAGGTGATTAGGGTGATTATTTGTTATAGCTTGAAAGTAATATAATTTGGTTTTTTCTGTGAACAGGATCTTAAGACTATGGAGCAACAAAAGATGACGATAGAGAAGGAACATCTTAGCAGTCTTGAAAAACTTAAGCAGAGAGAAGAAGAAATTAGACAACTTCACAAGGTTAGGATGAGTATGGCCTCAATAGTTTTAGAACCATTGTTTCAGACTCTGTTTCTTATGACAAACTTCCTTGAAATTGAAATTAACATTTAACTTTCATAAACCAGAAGAGATTCCTTTCTCATCAGATGTCAACAACTACCAGCACCATATAAAAAACTTATTGGCAACATTAACAAAACAGTCAAAGCAAAATAGAACAACAAACTAACTTTACTGATTGATCAAAAACTGAGCCGTGATGACCAACACTAGATAGTTGAGTCATGAAAATAATGACATTATAAACTGACCAACCAGTTCTCATTTAAGTGACGAACAACTCCTTGTTTGACTCTAAAGCTGACTGCTGTCCTGGGTGTCAAAACATCAGTCACTTCTTCAGACAACTGTCCTTTTCTGGACCAGTTTACTTTCACCTAGATGAACTGACCACAGTGCATGATCAGCAGTAGTGCTGCTCTTAGCACAGTGTTCCTCAAATCTGTACCAAATATTTCTCTTTGAAATGTACATGTACTAGTAATCATCTAAACTAAAAGATTATGGTCTGTTCTTATGATCACTAATTATTAAATAAATTTACACGCCCAAGGCAAAGTTGGAATATGGCGTGTTCTTTTTGTAGCTGAGAAATTGTAGAATGATGGGAATCCCTTGGACTAAAGTCATTGCTTGCTTTGCTTCCAATATTTATACAGATCCAGGAGGAAGCCAACCGAGCTCATGAGATGGCTGTGACATCACTAGAAGATACTGTGCGTAGTTTGGAACAGAAGTGTATTGAGGCTGAAAAGAATAACATTAACCTCAAAAAAGAGATGGATGAACTGAAACAGATGGAAAGGGACAGTAACAGGAGAAAAGAAGAAGTTTGTCACAGATCAACTCAGACTACACTTGAAACATTCAACAAAGAAATTCCAACTGTAGAAGAAGTTAAAGGTAAAACTTCAACAGAATGTTATTGGTAATTTCTAAATCAAATTCAGGCTAGCTAGTGTAACCACTTAAACCATTCTCTGTAAGGTAGTATTCCTGAGCTGGAGTTCATTTATTACATAAGGACCACTTGCAGTTTTTGAGGGAAACCTTAAAAGTGATGGTTACATTTAACCCTTTAATTCCCATGAGCCACTGGGACAGAATTTTTCCTTACAATATCAATACAATATCAACGAGAGGTATAATCACATGTAGTTGATTCAATACTATATTCTCTGAACCAACATTATAAGAATTGTATGGTTGACAGTAAGGAGAATTACAAATTTTGATCTGTGGGTTAAAGGGTTAAACTTGTTGTGTGTTTACAAATCTTATCAGGTGCCACTATGAAAGTAGATGTATTTTTAGAACTCTAACGACCCTGATCCAGACAACCTACCAAAGAATCTGGTGCACACCAAGGCATCAAGAGTCTTTTTCTTAGGGCTACACTTAAGCTCAAACATTTGACTTCGGAATGCATTTACTTAAATTTTTTTATAATACAAATCAATAAAGCATGAAATCTTGGAGGTAAGTCATCTCCCTTCCACTGCCTTGAATCATTAACCAGTAACTTTGTGCTACATTACAGTGAAAATAACAGAACACCTTGTCTTAAATTGTACAAATGCAATATTGGACAGATCCAGGAAAGGTAAAATTACTGGAGGTTGGTCTTTGAGAGTGCTGTGTACTTCCCGTGACATCTTTCACTTATATCAAACCATAGGCATTGCGGTCAAAGGTCAGCCTTCACTTAAAGAAAGTCCACAACCACCTCGCAAACTTTCTAGTGATGCTGCAGATGTACTGTCATCTCAGATCATGCCAACCAAGTCTGCTACCTTCGAAGAAAAGGTTGAGTCTTTCCTTGTCAACTCCAGCAAGCCCCAACCTGTTGCAGGAGAAGACACCAATACTCCAGCATCAGAGGATATATTAGAGTCACTGGCTTCAAGAATTAATCAATTAGCAGCATCTGATAGTGAAGATGATCCACTCAGTGGTATGGCATTTTGATTTAAGTATGATTTGCATTGTGTTTTCAAAATGGGTGTTATCAGCTTTGTTTCTCACTTCCTGCTAATGGAGAGAAAAACAAACGGCGTTCTGGTAGGTTTTAATTTAGCCATGGTGACATTTTTAGGAAGGCCATCAACCTCATATTAAAAGTAGATGGCAGTAGACTACTGATCGTAGTACAGGCCTGCATTTCATGCAGTGCATTTAACCAATGTATAGTTTCAGGATGTGATATTGTTCCTTTTAAATACAGGTTAAATGAGGAGTCACTGTATTTTTTTCTTATATTCTCTATTTGCTAGAAAAAGCATATGCAGATCCAGGGGATGATGTAGAAACAGAACAGAAACCTGAAAGATCTGATTTGGATTTTGATGACTTGCACCGGCGCATTGATCAAGCAGAAGTAGATGAAGATACCAGCAGCTCCATCAGCACAATGGAAAGAGCCGGCAGTGAGGCTAGTCAAGATATGGCCAGCATGGCTGAAGGAGACCTGGGTGACTTAGAGGATAATCAGCCAGACAGCTCTGCTCCTGAAGATGAACAAGCTGAGCCCTCTACACTACAGCCTATTGGTGAGAGTACACTGATTTTCTTTATTGAGACGAGACGAATTTCAGTCTCGTGCCATTCCTCTTCAGTTTAATCATCCTGGGTTAGGATGTCATGTTGGATCACACTATCCACTATACTTGTTGTTTTGTCTTTAACCCCTCACTGCCTGAAAATCAAGGTGCTTTTACTGTTTAGCTACATACAAAAAAGACAACTTTTCTTGGTTTTCTGTTTTCTTTATTATTTCTAAGTGATTTAAATTATTATTTTTATTATTACTTCCAAGTTCCAGCAGTTGCCCTGCATGGAGGAAGCCAGTTGCCCACTGGGGCAACTGGCCTGAAGATTTCAGTTGCCCAAGCCAAATTTTACATGCCCCGGGCAATAGGACACCCGTTAGTTTCGAACCCTGCTTGTTGGTTTGTCTTTAACCCCTCACTGCCTAACGTCAGTATGCATATTCTCCATACTACTCCCTCCACATTTCCAAGGGTTCTGACAAGGAGAGTTTGGTCAACAATCAAGAGCTTCTTTAGTTGGCAATGATCTCCTTTATTCTCACGACCTTAATGTGTGATTCAAGGGTGATATTGTAAGGAGAAATTAGATGCTAGTCACTCTTAGGGGTTAAAGGGTTAAGTGAGCAAAGACCTGTCTGCTTTTTAAGACAATCACTACTTGCCTGAAAGGCCATGTCAGGCTTGATTTTTTAGCTTTAGGCCAAAACAACAACAAGACACGGGGAGACGGGGGTTTTGGGGAACATAGATGACACAGTGGTGAGAGCACGTACCACCGCTGTGGCTTGGATTCGATTCCCAGACGTGGCGCGTGTCCCATGTGGGTTGAGTCTGTTCTTGGTTGCCGTCCTCGCTCCCAGGAGTTTTTCTCGGGCTCCTCCGGTTTTCCTTCCCCCGCAAAAACCAACATTCAACGTGGAAACAGTAGACAGGAAGAGTCACCTCACGTATTGTCCACTACTGAATTCCATTATCATCATGATCATTATTATAACTGTTACTTGTATTAGTACTAGTACTACTACTATTATTGTTACTATTGTTATTATTACTACTATTGTTATGCACTGATGACAATCAATTTGATTTGTATCAGGTAAACTGAATGTGCATAATGCCATGCCAGCCAGCAGTAAAGACATCTCAACAGGTACCAACAATGGGTTCAGTGCAGAAGAGGAGGCACTGGACGTTAGATATCTTGAAGGCGATAACAGTGATGTGGATCCAGCCATTCAAGAGAAACTTGCTGTCTATATTGCAAGGTACAGTTATGACCCTTATCAACACTCACCAAATGAGAATCCTGATATGGAGCTGGCATTCCAGGCTGGAGATTATTTGTATGTCTTTGGCGAGATGGATGAGGTAAGGAAATACAAATTACTTGATTTATCTGCATGCAGCTCTGAAGGTTGAAAGGTGCCCAGCCATGTAGCGAAAAAAAAAAGAAGATAAAATTGGCATAGAAACCTATGGATCAATCTCGCTGGAGTTTATCCAGGTGTGTGTATTATAGCTCTTCAACCTTGGATGGAATGCGAGGTAACCTAGCCTGCAAGCAGCCCTCATTACCACCCCTGCACGACGCGCATTTCTCCACCCGCGGAAAGATTGAAGACGAGTCGGTGAGAGGTTACCGGGGTCTGGCTTTATCAGTGCCAGACCCCTTGTAGACCTCGTCGCGGTTTTCTTAAACTCCCAGATAGGAATACGCAAAGTAAAAACTTTTCCAATGACTGATTTTTCTTGAATAATAGGATGGATACTTTTTGGGTGAACTGATGAATGGCCAGAGAGGATTTGTACCTTCTAACTTTGTGGAGAAAGTCGCTGGTAAGAGCAGCTCAAGAGTATCAATTAATCAAACTGTCAATAAATTATGATGTATAACACCGTCAATAACCAGACTCAGAATTGCTTGAGTTCTCGCTTTTGTCTGCGCAATGGTAACTGCTCATAAAATGCTGAATGCAAGCTATCTATCCCACAACCTCGCACTAATTATTGTAAACGAATTTTTAGCCATAGATGGGCTGTGTTATGAACTAGCCTGCTTTAAGCGATAAAACAATCGAACTCTCTTAACGATTTCAAAACGAAATTGAAAAACCACACTTTTCAAAGCGAGATCATGTAGCACTATCCCGTATTTACACGACACCGTTGTAAAGCAGGTTTATCGATTTTATTGCTAGTAGCCATTTCTTAGCTAGTGTAGTTAGCGTTTTTTATCCTTTGAGAAATTGTACCTGAATGGAAACACCGTCTTTAAATAAAGTTTTTACTTACCTACTAAATTTATTAATTGATAAAATTATGTAGCCCCTATAGCATTATTTGATTTAAACATACGTTATAATGTTCACTCTGCACTTAAATCATCTTGCCTGATTAACCAGTTTGGATAGAGGTTAAAATATTGTTTGGCTATTGTTTTTCAGATGAAAGTGAAATGACTTTGATGATGAATGGCACTGGAGAAGGAATTGGTAAGTGGTGTCAGTTCGTATATTTGATTTGGCTTGCCAGCAAGCTGACTGTGTTTTTCTCTCTCTCTCTGTCCTCTATGGTCTGTTTTCTTCGACCAAATTTATGTCTATATTGTAGATAACTGTCCGTTCTCTTTGACACTCAAAATTTATCAAGCTTGCAGTTGCAGTCCATAATCTACATATGATGTTTTTAAGGTATCTTTCAGATGGGGAAAACCCGATGTTCCAATAAAACGTTGTGACAATTCGTTTATTGTTGAACTCTTATTGATGTATGTTTTGTCGGACTTAGTTGTTGAAAGTACGTTTAGTTTGTGTTAGCAGTTAACCCAGGATTAGTGTGGACGTTGCTTTAAACAGCGTGATATTGACAAACACATTTATTTGGTCTTTTCACTTTCAGATGAAATACCAGACAGCAGTGATGAAGAAGAAACAGATGGTAACTACTATTTTTTAATACAAAAACGAGAGAATGAAAAATGAAGAAGAAGGAAATAAAACTGAAAACGATTTAAACTATTTTTGTTCGAAATTAATTTTCTAACGTGTTTATTGTCAATATCAGTCGTGCTTTTCGAAAGAACTATTTAAGAACCTAAATTATTTGCAACTGACGTTTAACCAAGGTAACGATATAAAGGAAACAAAAAAGGTAAAGTAATTCTAACCTTAACAAGGATGGTATGACAGCGTTCAATAACTTAATTTGCTTAATGTCACCGAGGTGTCGTATCTTTTAAACAGTTTTGTCCAATCACTCCTGGTTTGTTCATATAATGTTCTTCATACACTTGTATGCTCATACGTGCACTTCTAACGATCCCTATGTTGCTGATATTAGAAGAAGAAAGCTTCTCGGAAGATGGACAAACCGAACTTGCAATACCGGGAGAAAATGGCGAGCGGCAGATGAAACCAGTGCGCATGCTTAAGTTCTCGGGTAATCTTTAGCAGTCAATAGACTGCCTTATAAATCTGATGTTAATTTAATTTAAGGTAGCTTTTTATGATTCTGGGAGTAAACAGCACATTTACACGTCAACTAAACAATAAACGTAAAATCCAGACATTTCTTAAAGATAAAATTCCCAAAAAAATGTATTTTGATAAGACAATCTGAAGGAAAATAACAGAATTGTGGATGGTATTTTTAAATTTTAACTTGATAACTGTTCCTTCCTGGTGATACAAAGAGCAAATTTTTATCGGTAAAAATTTTCTTTAAATTAAAGAAGGTACCATTTATAGTCATCTGTATAACTTTTAAGCATGAATTTTTTTGTTATTTTTTGGTACATTCGCTTCGAAGCGAATAAATAACTCTAAGGGAAAACGTTCTTTCTTTTACATAAAGTAAAATATTTAATGTAAACACGCTTTAAACATATCAATTCTGGCGTTCTCGTCTTACAATTTTAATGTTACTTCCAGGTATGAAATTAAATTTAAAGGAATATATTTATACATGAAAACCTTACGCTTTGTATGTGATTACTGTGTGACATTTTTTGTTTGTCACGTCAGGTAAACTTCATCGTGCGTTACGCTTGTCAGTGGAACATATCCCCGACGTTGGACTTCAGGACATTGAGGAAGAAGACGAAGCGGAGATAGAGGAGGAAATAGAAGAGGAGCATGATTCAGGGAATGAATTTGATGAACAGGATGGTTCGAAAGAAACTGGATTTAGCCAAGATGGCATCACGAGTGATGAAATTGATATAATGCCTCGTAGTAAGTCATGCGATTGTTAGGCCGTGTTGTGGGCTATTCTTCCCGCCGCATAATTATTTAATTGGAAGGAGAGGAAACCGAGCAATTTCAATGGATTAAAACGCCAAAATGAGGACAATGCCTAGTTTGAAACAAGTTTTTTACAAGTACTTCAAGATAATTTGGTTTTATGAACTGAGTTGATAATTTAGCCACCGAAAAGCGTTTTCCCGTCTTTCACTCTAAGGGCCAACTCTCGAAATGTAAGCATTAGAATTATCTTATAATTTTTCCCCCTCCCTTTCCCCCCCCCCCCCAATCGACGCGGTGCCACAGTTTATGCAGAAACAAACCTTTCAGAAGTATGTTTTGTCATTCAGCCGTTTAAACACTGATTTCTGTCTGTCCTAATTTGTTATCTCAGGAGTTCCCTCCCCTAGGAGGCTCCACCTTGAGCGTCAGTTTACCCGGAGCGTGCTCCTAAGTTGGAAACCCGCTGATTTGCCTGCAGACCAAGTGAAAGGTTATGGTGTGTATGCGAATGGAGAGCTACGACTTATGATCAAAGGAAGCAGCAAAACAAAGGCGCTTCTGGAAGATATTGACCCCCAGGAGGTAAGATTCAACCATTTTTTTATTGTGCATGAACGTAAATGATAGTCCAGTAAATTATGGTAGACAGCAATTGAATAGTAATTGATTTCAGGAAGTTGCAACTTGTGTGTATACGTTTCGATTATTTTAAGTAGTAGAGGAGGAAAGGGAAATGAGAGACGAAGAGAGCAATTTGTGTCTAAGCTCTCTTTTTTAAACGTTCTATAGTTTTGACATGAATTCCAATTCACGAAGCTAGACCCAATCCAAATTTTCGGAAATCATTCATGATTCTAACCGCATAAATGCATTTTCATGAAGATTTGTTGATACCAATGATACCAATCAGAAGAAGAATAGTTCCTTGATTGTTTAACGTGCAGTCCTCTTGCGAGGATCATTTTGTTTATTTGAAGTTAATTGTTTCTTCTCTCAGTTTACTTGATAATGTATTGATTTCTTGAAGGGAAGTTATATGTTAGTCGCTATTGAGAGTTACGGGCCAAAGTTGAAGTTTTGTTTTTTTCTGTTATTTTTTTTTATTTTTTCACCAGACATACCGCCTCTCTGTACGTACCATCACAACGCAGGGAGAAGAATCATCAGACCGCTCAGCTGTGGTGACAATTGGCAAAGGTCAGCAGTATGCAAAAGTGTAGCGTTCAGACTGATAGCTTCCTTGCATGTAGTTATATCTGTAACTAGAGGAAAGAGATATTGTGTTTATGTTTAAATTAAAATTTTTAAGGTTTTCGAGAGATCGACAAGTCAGATTTGATGGGAGGAGGGAATCATTTCAGTTGAATTTATTCTTTTTGTTTTTCTTATAAGGTTCATCAGATTTTTTCCCAACCGTTTGTTTTCTTCCCTCAGATGCAAACTTTGCTCCCAGTCACGTGCATGTCACCTGCATTTCTCCCACGTCAGCTAAGATCGAGTGGTCGCCAGGCAACAGCTCATTCAGCCACGAAATCCTTCTAAATGGGGACCTCCATAGAACAGTTCGCCCTGGGACCTTCCAGCACACAATCAGTAATCTCGAACCGGATCAGTGGTATAAGGTTCACATACGTGCTAAGGATCCTAAGCGAGTGTCAGTTGACGATCGTGAAGAGGATATCGAGGTTGATCTGTTGACAGCTGAAGCAGAATTTCGAACTGAACCAGGAGGTATATTGAGAAACCTTTTCAACATACGATATTTTTAAATAGCAGGGTGCTGGAGAGCTTTTTGTTTTAGTGCTGTCGAACCAGCAACGACTAGCTAGAACATAGGGGAATACCTCAAGAGGCAACGCTTTACTACTTTCACCTCTTTTTACCTCGACTAGTGGACTTTCCAAGGAGAACTTAGGTTTTTATTCGTATTGAATGAATTTGTGACATCGCCTTTTGTTAAGTTCCTGTTCCACATAAATGACACTAGGCTGAGAAACACTGTTTATCAACCTGGATTTTCGTCACAAGGGTTGGGGGTGGGGGTTTAGTTGCTGATACAGGACACTGTTATCGTGGTAGTTGAGCAACCTGACATGGATATTAATCTCAGTCCAGCCCCTGAAAGAAATACTGCCTTTGAGAATTACTTCGTTCGCAAAAATAGTGTTGGTAAAATCGACGTTGCCCTAAAGGAGACTGAGAACAGCATCACTATCCATTATTTCCTGCATCTTTTGTTTAATGAATCCCATGAATACTACTGTGATTTTTAATTTTTTTCATAGACGATGAATAAATTAAGATCTCTGCAGCCAGTTTTTCGCTTATGGGTCTACCCTTGCTGTGTACTTAGGTATTGTTATTTTTTTAAGGTCTGCCAGATCCACCTCTCGATGTGGAAGCAACTCCAGGTCAATCAAACACCCTTGATGTTAACTGGATTCCAGTGACAATCACAGACAAAGGTGCCTCAAACGGCGCTCGCGTGACAGGATACAAAGTTTACATCAACGGCTTTCCATGTACGGAAGTCACGTCACCCACAGCAGATTGCGTGACAGCCGTGTCGTGGATGGTCGAACGGGCGAGCAAGAAAAGTCACAGCGATGTTCTTCGTGTTATTGTTAGAACTCAGTCGTGTGAGGGCGAGTCAGCTGATTCAAATGAAGTTGTTATGCCCTTAGGTATGTTTAATTTCAAGGCAAATCAGGTTATAACACCTAAAGAAACTGAGCAGGTGTTGCAGAACAATGATATGTTGTTAGAAAGATCTTTCGGATCTCATGGAGGTCACGAAGGCTCAGATAACTTGGCGAATGGTGAGCTGGTCTCTGAGCCACCAAGGGAACGAGCCGATAGCGTAAGACGCTTTAGTATGGGCGAGAATGGCCAGCCACAAGAAGTTTTAGTTGAAGACATTGCCAAACACACCAAGGACGATTCTGGTCTTCTTGCGCAGCCTCGAACGAAGGGAGAACCGGTCGTGTGGAAATACGAGACCGGGGATGAATCGGAAACTGCCGAAAGTATCACGAAAAGCGACGGAAGAAGTGGATCCGAAGACGAAGATGATGAAGAAGTTGAGATTTGTATACCAGACGATTCGGAGGATAAAGAGCAAGCTGCTAAAACAGAGACTGTGGTGAATGTGGAAGAGCAAGGCTATCAACGGCTTGAAGAGGTACCTCTTTGCTTCTTTAATGTTTTTGTTGGTGACGGAAAGTTGGGTTTATATTTTATTAGCTTTTTTTTCTTTTTTTATTACGTCAGAAAATGGGGTCCTATTTCCTCAGACTAAATGGTGGTTAAAGACTAAATGGTGGTTAAAGGGAAATCTCTTGGTGGATTCAAGAGTTCTTTTTTTTATATTCTCGCCTGTCCATTTTTCTTTTCATCTTTTAAAATTTACTCATACGTAAGTAACGTAAGCGTTGGACTGTGGAACGTCGTAGATAATTTGTAGAAGTAGTACGAAAAAAAACAGCGTAAATAACCCTTTTGGAAACTTCCCATTTTGCTCGTTAACAGGGGTTATACCAGCATGCTCTGTTCGAACGAAAATGTGGTTATACTTTAGATTACAGCGGTTGTTTGACCAACAACTTCAAACGTTAAGTCGAAAGCCTTCGCTTAGAGCACTGTCGATTTCAACCCTACAAATCCTGACTTCTGGTCATGTAATTCTTCCATTTAAGTATTACACATTTTCTTGTAAATTAGGTAACCCTTAAACTTTTGACCCCTAACAGTGACCAGCATGTAATTTCTCACTACAACGTCACTTGAATCACACATTAAGGTCATGAGAATAACTGAAATAATCAAATTCTCCTTGTCAGCACCTTAGGAAATGTATGGAGAACAGTATGGAGAATCTGCATACTGATGCAAGGCTGTAAAGGGTTAAAATGCTCAAGATCTCATCAGTAATTCCTCATACTGTCTGCATGCAATTCTTTTGCTGTTAGTTCTGAGAATTAAGTATTGGATCAGTTTGTAATCCCCCAATTGATATTTTTTTATTTACTTTCATCACTTATCTACTTGATGTTGTAAGGAGTAATTCCAAAGCTAATGAGCTTGGTTAATTTTGTCACGTGTTACAGAATAACGGACTGAAGTTGTGAGAAATCTTACATGTTATTTGCTCCAGGACTTTTTGACACTCGTGGCCAGCCAAATATTCACTCTTGTAAATGCAAACTTCCAAACTTGCTCATGTCCTGTGATTCTTGTATTTAGAGTAACGATGACATCGAAGCTGATACCGAAGTTCCCAAGGTCGAGCAACAGCTTGCTGAGGAAGAACAAGCGCTTTCTGGCGAAGAAACATCAGAAACGCAAAAGAATCCTTCAAGAATTAGTAAGGGGAGCGATATGTCTTCAGAGAGTGACCTCGACATGGAAGAATTAGGACAGTCATTGGAAGAAGCGCAGAGTGTTCAACGAACAAGTCCCGAAGGAAAGGAGAGCGAGGATAGAATGCCTTATATTCGTCCTCTAGAGTATGACGAGAGTGACTTTGAAAGTGAATCAAGCGAACAGGCCCCGCTTTCCATAATTCAAGAAGAAGACGAGGAAGACTTATCGGAAGAGGTACATTTTCCGCGCTCACACTCGGCCTCCGAGGGCTTCGAGAGCGATGATGATGTCATGGATTTACTCGACGATGAGCAAGTTTGGGATCAATCGTCGGGACGCGTCGACTTCGAAAGCGTTCGTAAAATATCGCAAACAGAAGGTTCTTCGGCGGTGAACACCAATAAAACGTCAGAGGGCCAAGGCTTTGGAAAATATTTAGCAAATAGTAGTGACCAGCTAAGAACAAACGCTAACCATGGTTCACCGTACAGACTTGTGGATAATATCAAGCTTTCAGAAAGTGAAGGAGAGCTGGTGGACAACGATGGCATCGACATTACCTACAGTGACACTGAGGCAGACCGAGGGGAACTAGAAAGGAGTGCGACTCCGCTAGATGGACAGTATGGGGAAGGAATGATGCGGGAAGAACAACCGCTTCATCACGCGTATGACGAGGCTACGCCGGCGGCGGAGGGACAGGCGCCTTCTGATCAAGGGTACGCGGGCGGAGGTGCCCCGGAGGAGCGAGTGCGTGTGTTCTTAGCTCTTTATGATTATGACCCTGCTACTATGTCACCGAATCCCGATGCTGAAGATGAGGAGCTGACGTTCAATGAAGGAGACTTGATAAAGGTAAGAAAGGGGAGTGGTAGGATTGGGCAAGAGTTGTCATTCTCACATAGAGTATGAGGTCAAGCACTCCTTTCCACAAAAGGTTTTGTTTGGTCTTGTTTTCATCCGTGATCAATAAGAACGTGATTTTTTAAACGTTGCGCAAGGTGTATTCGCCAAACAAAGAATGTTCGTTTTTTTTTTTCGGCTTGAAGCCGACTCCTATGGTCGACAATGAAAGCCGTTACATTGCCTTCAAATGCAGTCCGCTTGAAAACAAGCTATTTAGGTCGACCATATTCGTTATAATTTCTTGGATTCTCCAGAAAAGGATAACCGCTCATAATTTGGTTGACGACTTAATCGCTCTCTTGCCAGATTTACGGCGACAAGGATGAAGATGGATTTTACTGGGGCGAACTAAACGGGAGAGCGGGGTACATTCCGTTCAATATGGTATCAGAAGTTCATCTCGACGATGAAGAATCCGGTAGTACTGTCACGACGCCTTCCATGAGCATTACTCAGGAATCTGCCGCCCAGCTCCAGCCCCTTGAGGAAGCTCCCCGGGCAGAAGAGACTGAAGCTGGCCCTACCCCGTCCGACAACTTGCTTGAGGAGGTGATCCTAGAAGATGGCGAAGAATTTGAGGACCCGAGATCGAGTGACAATTATCAGCTGCCACCCAGGAGAATGGTAGCTCTGTTTGATTATGATCCACAGACTCTGTCGCCCAACCCTGATAGTGAGGTAAGAACAGCAGTTGATCAGGACACGTTTCTTTTATTATTTTACATATTACTGGATTACTTCACTGGTGGCTGAAGGAAAATTAACCCTGCAATGATGCGCTACTTTGCTCTCACTGGTAGTCTTTTTAAATGATGGGGTAATTATTGTTGAAATTAAAGAGTTGCATACTCAAACCTTAAATGGCCACTTCTGCTCCGTACTATTTAAAAATCAAATCTTTCCTTATTTTGCAATGTTATTTTTTTTGACGACCACCTCTCTAGAATAATCAACCCCTCCTGGCTTAATTGTAGCTCTGATGAAAGAGATCTCAGTGTATTTGAGCAAGTATCTACGTCGGCTGATTGACGTATCGTGCAATGTTGTAATGTTTGTTTACGTTGTTGAAGTAGATTTAACCCTTTAACTCCCAGAAGTGATTAACATAAAACTTCTCCCTTCAATATCCATACATTCTTCAGCAAACAGGTAATGAGAATATTCAAACTTATCAGGTAGAAGCTGCTATCTTGATCTAGCACCAAGTTCTCATAACTAATTTAAAAGGAAATGTGTGGCAGCTACAGGGGAGAATTGACAATCAGATCTTGGGAGTTAAAGGGTTAATTACTCCCAGTGTCTCCGTTTCGTTATGGTGTGGGTGGTAAGTTTTTGGCCACTTGTATTTTCTTACACTTTTCGTTCTTGTTCTTCAGGTTGAACTCAAGTTTAGAGTTGGTGATATAATTTATGTATACGGCGATATGGACGAGGATGGGTTCTTTACAGTGAGTGACTCAGTTATAAGTTGAATATTCTACTTACTGGGTCCGCAGTGGTTCCTTTTTATCTTGAGATACCATCCTTCCTTCCAAAGCGTTTTTAAAAAGGCTCTTGTTGTTAAATAGATTTCTCACAGAACTGCCATCTTGCTTTACTCCTAAATTGAGAGATGAAGAGGCGAGAAGTTTTTTAGAAGGCTTTCATATCGAGTATCGTGAAACCAAAGATAAAATCGTACAAATGATTTACAAGAAAAGAGCTAAATATCGCATGAATTTAATGTAAACTTTTGTAGGTGCAAAGTGCCTGAAGCGTGGGAGAATAGCACTAACCTAGTCACGATTGGTGTTACTGTGGCACCTCATTTGCCGAGAGAGAGGCGCGTGTTTTCCAGACCAATCACAGACAAAGATAGGCGAAACTAATGCGATCCTGGACTATTTATAACACTGATCTTTAATTTGTTCTAATGGCAACATTGCTTATACAAAATTTGAATCTTACCCTGTGCTCTTTTTTCAGGGTGAGCTCCGTGGAATTCGGGGTTTGGTACCTTCAAATTTTCTTGAAAGTTTGTCTGATCCCATGGAGGAATCTCAACTTGACACAAGTAACGACAGCCATGTAAGTTAATAAAAAAGTTTTTCGACTATTTCAACACTATTCCCTCCTTTCTCTCATGTGCTTACTGAACTACTGTTTTTGTGCAATGTTTTGTGTCACTCTCGTTTACTCAGTTGTTATGACACTTTCGTTCTTGTCTTTCAAAGTGGATCTCTATGCATGTGTCCTCTTGAAACTTAGAACTACTCTTTACCTGGAAGTCCGTCTGCCTGAATGTCACTATTCTTTTGCTCGCACTCTTGCTCTCCTTTCTCGGTGACGCAATTTGTTTCCCGTTGATTAAGTCCAGCGGTTGAACGCTGCCTTGAAACGAAAGATCCCGTCGAGATTGACTTTTACATCGAATGCAGTTGAAGTTAGCCCTTGGCTTCTCATTGATGACTCGTTGCCAAGCAATGCAACGTATTCTTATTGGGTGATAAAGAGCTGAAATGAATACTGATTCTTCCTGTCTTGGTTCGCCAAACCCAAGTAATTATTAATCATTTCCTTCAGTGTGTTTGATCAAATTATCAAATAACTCGTTCTTGTTCTTTCCATGTTTTGAAGCGTTTCTAACAATACTTATCAGTTTAGTGTTTTAACTATCATACCGCTAGGAATCTTCGCATTTTACTGTTATCTGATGTGAAGAACGACCTTGGAACAGCGGCAGGGGAAAGCTCAATTTATGTTAGTACAATAAACACCATTCACGATGTAGAGGAGTAGCTTTAACCATAACGAGAACGACAACAAGCTTCAATACGAAGTAAATCATTAAAGCTAGGCTGGTAACCATTAAAGTAGGGTGTCGTGTCAAATAATTATTTTTTTTAAAAAACAGACATTAGTAGCCTATCTTCTATAAATTGAAACGCGCTATTTTTAGTTTGTATCGAGTTTTTTTTTCTTGTTTTTGTTCGGTTTCTTTTGTTAGTCATTTTGTTTTTTATTTATTTCGGTTTCTTTGTTGCGTTCACTCACTTTTGCTTTTCCAGTCTTTATTTTCTATTGCTTTCATTTCGCTGTGATCTTTGTTATTGTTTCCCTTTTCTGTTCTTTCACGTATGTTTTGTTTATTTTTTGTTTTTGTGTTAATGCGTACTATTGAACTGATTTTCCCCAATGCCTGTGGTTATGGAAATTTAATTTCTAATGCATACTAAGAACAGGGTAAAAAAAAAGACGTTGAATTCAGTTTGCTATCCTCAACGTGGGACCTTGCAATAGTCAAAACTGGATTTCATATCTTTCATTTATAACAGGGTTTGTTCACTTGTGTCTGAAATTCCTCATCTTTCTGTTACTTGAAATGTGTTAATTCGATTGATAGCCATAACTTGCGGAAGGTAGAGATTTTCTGAAAAAGATTACCCCAATGAGTAAAAAAAAAAAAAAAGAATAGGTACTTTGTAATATAGAAAGCTGTGAGCCATAAAATAGCGGTTTTTTCAATGAGGCACACAGTTGGGTTGAAACAGAAATTTGAACTTCAATACCTGTACGTTAAAACACTCGTTAGCTATATAGGAATGGGATTTATCTACAAACTCGTTGCGATGTTGTTTTTGACGGCGAATCATTCATCAATGACTACATCTGCCATTGAACTGGTGTTCGAAAACAGTGTATTCTGCTGAAATTACCGTCAAACTTGCCGAGTTATTTCTTCAATACAAACTTTCCTGCCCCCACCCCCCCTTTTTTTTTTTCAAATGAACACGGTTTTATTGACCTTTTTATTTTTAAAGGAGCAGTGACATGTTGTTTTGATTACCTGCTAAATTACCTTCAGCTTGAAGAAATCGCAAACTCTCTATTTGGTTAAAAAAAACATACAAAGAAATAATGAGGATGGTTGAGAAACAAATTGGAAACATTTAGGCTGATTATTCTTTGCTGTACAAAACACGGTATAGCTCCTTCAAGGCTTTTCACTGGAAAGTAATCGTCGTTGTGAGAATTCTGGTCAACAACTGCATCAAAGCGTTGCGTGATGACTTAGTTATGTAGAATAACCAAGCGAAAACTGTCCCGTTTGCATTTCAGGAGTCTCCCATGGATTCCCCAGAGAAGTATAACTCAATCAATGGTACTCACAGCGTTCCAGATGACACGCCCAAAAAGAAAAAGGGAATCTTTTCCAAAGGAAAACAAATGTTTAAAAAGATCGCCAAAGGACACAATTCGCCTCGAGGGAACAGTTCTAAAAGATAGCGTTGCTGAGCTAACCAGCTGCTTTTGAAATATTGAAAATGTCTTGTAAATAGATTATTCGAAAGTTCAAGCGAGTGAAATTTAGTTTTATAGCTTTTAGAGAAGTCCATTTTTATAAACGGGTTGTATTTTATCCAGTGTAAAGGGGTTTACTATTGTATATGTGGGCTTGGCCCTTAATTTATAAAAAACCCGAAGAGTTCTATTGGGTGCTTCCCTTGATATGGAAGTTATTTACCTACTTTTCAGACGGTCAAGGCTGTAGTGGATGCTTGCTATATATACTCGCGCGCACTTTGAAATTTTTTCACCGAACGTTGCCGATTCGTTCTTATTCATACACAAAATAACAGACGCATAAAGTTCTCCCTGTATCAATAACTTGTTTAAACTTTTAAACTTGAAATCTGGAGTGTTTATTTGTAATATATCTGGTTGAACAATGACCGATTTGGAAATGTGACGCAAAGATAGCATTATATTGTATTGTATTGTATTTCCCAGAAGTGTTATGTTAACTATTATTATATAATTTATTTAGCAGAGTTGTATACCAGTGTAGTCACAGACATTCGCTATTAAATACTATTTTGCGGAGAACAGTCGTTGAGTATTAGTTCCATTAGGTGCTTGGGGGCCTGGGAAGTGAAGTGGTTTCCGGTAATTTTAGGCAGGATCTATTGACTATTCAAGTGATCGACATTTATGTTAATACCGTCTCCACGAAAAGTTTTATTTCAGTTATTTTGTTAGCTTGGAGAGGGCTTATTATAAGTGGTTCATTGGACACTTCAATTTTCTCCCCAATCTCTAAACGGTACTTCTCCTTTGAGCTGAGAACTGTCACCTGGAGAACTGGGGCTGATTGTTGGCGTGACGTAACAACAATCTGCGAATGCGATGCGGAAATCACAAAGTCTATGCTGTTTCCATGGTAATCGATACCCACAAACTTTAATCCAGTGCTCCCGGGTGGAAGCTTGGGGTTGAATTGAAGTTGTCTTCTATCGCGCAGACGCAGTCCGCCATAACCAAAAAGAATGGATTGAAGAAATCCGCCGGCTCCTGTGATGAAGTTCACAGCACCCCCACCGTCCGCACTCTCGGTCCAAACCATAAAGGGAATCTTTGCGTTTACGTAACTAGCATTGAAAGACTTCTCTGCTCGAGAATTTTCACCGATATCTAACCAGTTAATGGCGAACATAGATTTGGTCATGGCGGGCCCCCGCGGATTCGTCCTGGGCTCGTAGAAACTCAGATCATTTCGTCGTAACTGCGAGCTCATGTTTACCATTAGTGGATATCCGAGTAGGATAACGTCGGCTTGTTTTACCTCGATCCCTTGGTACCCATCGTACTCGGGGTGATAGTCGTTTGTGGAATCAAACGGTATGTACATGTTCTGTGCTATGGTTTTCCAATTTTCGGAGGCATTCGGAAGGACCTCGTGGGCGAATTCTAGATTTAGTTTGGCGATCATGTTAGTATAGGCCGAGTTATTCACGACTTCAGCATCTTCGTCCGGTGGCATAACGTTGTAAATGACGTAACCTCTTTTGGAGTCGTTGTAGATCGCGCGACTCGCCCAGAATTCCGCAGTGGCTCGAATAAGGGGAAAGGCCTGGCTCCGGAGCCATTGTTGGTCTCCTGATGCCATCCATAGCTGCCTGACTGCGAATGCAATATCGCCTGTGATATGTTGCTCGTAATCGGAGTAAATCTCCCCGGGGCACACTTCTGAACCAGTCACAGCACTTTCCCATGGAAACATTGCTCCTTAACGGAAAAATTAAAAAAAAAAATCAGAATTAAACGCCAATAGGTACACATGCCCACGAGTTATACTGAAACAAGAAGCTCGTCAAGGCTCAAATTATCAACCCCTTTGTGATAACAAAAATGGATAAATTGAGCTGCTGTCCCAAAGATTCCACGTTTGATTGCGTGACCAATGCCACGAGATCTGCGCTTAAATAAAATTTTTATTTCAATAATTTGTGGAGCCGATTCACGTCTGCATCATAAAACGTATACATTTATGCTATATTCACTCCCCATGCATCTGGGATCTGCAAAATCTTCAACTGCTTTCTTCGTAATTGGTGTACCTTACACGAAATCATTTTCTCGATAACTACCTCGGAATCCATATTTCTTAGCCTTTTCTTCAGCTGCTTGGAGCCGCTCAAACCTGTAAGCGAGACACGTTCGCGCCAAATCTTGGTGTAGAAGGAGAAGCGGGGGAAACATCCACGTCTCCTGATCCCAGAACACGTGACCATCATATCCATCAGTCGCCAGGCCTCCGGGACTCAGACCGAAAATCCTCGAGGAGCGAAGGGAGCTGGAAGACGAAAACAAAAATTGATAGCCGATCAGAATTTTAAAACTCACTCCTCTCAAGAAATAACGTTGTAACGTTATTCAAGTTTTGGACCAAATATTACGTAACTCTTTATCAAGGCTCTTTATTTTATCCATTAATCAAACAGAAATTTTAGTTTCGCTTAAAGAGAAAATGACCCTCCCCTTTCCAGTAAGTTCAATTATTGGCTTAAGGGATTAGTATAATGTTCTTAAGGTTTCTGAAAAAAAAACCAAACTAATTAGATGTCGGTAGACTTAGAAAAACTGGAAGGCAGACACGTCTAATATCACACGCAACCGTAAGAGTAGTCTGTCTTGTAATTTCATTTATTTTGTTTTGGAAATAGCTCCCTTGCTGCAATCGTTGTCGCAGATGTCATTTTTCCCTCCAGGCACCCTCAGCGTCGCCCTTCCCTCCCCCCCCCACCTTGCTTCCTTTTATGGCCTCAATAATTAAGCACGGAGGAGCTTCTTACCCTCCCCACCTTAACATCAGTATGTAAATTCTCCATACTGTTCCCTTCACATTCCTAAGGTTCTTGGTAATCATTTACTCGTAACCTTGATGTTTGATGCAGGGTGAAAATGTGAGGAGCAATTCCATGTTTGTCACCCTTAGGGGTTAGGGGATTAACAATCGGAGGAACTAAACACGAGAAAACGTGTTTTCGTGAGGAAAGCCTACATGTACGGGTTCAATAACTGGAGTGGCTTACGCACTTAATTATCACTAACGTTAATTGGAAATCCTCAATTCTCGAGATTGCATTGGTAATTCTCTCTCTTAGCAGCTACACATTTCCTTGTAAAAGATTTAGGAGAAGTTTGTGTTTCATCAAGATGACAGCCTGAAAGGCTTGTCGGCTTGAATCACGTTTTTGCTATATATCGTATTAATATTGTTAGGATCGAGAAGTTATACGTCATTCACCTCTGGGAGTCGTAGAGTGAAAGGTTTATGTCCATTGGGTTTTGATTTGATCTTCCATTGAATGAACTCAAATTGAACAAATTCGTAAAAAACCAAAAACTTTTATCAAGAGCTAAAACCGTGGTGGAAAACAGTTAAGTGAAATTTCTAAATGCAGTCTAACACTTAAACGAGCACTATTGAAAACAAATCGCTTTAATTAAATTAGTAAGGATTACATTTAAGCCTTTTAGCCTCGAAAACAATGGTAAACAAAAAAACAGGATGTAGTGTCAAGTTACCTGAGTGTGTAATAAAGACTCCCGGAAACTGTCTGAGCCAATGTAAGATTGCCCTCCAAATCAATGCGGCCCGCGTCCCAAAGTTCTTTCCAAGCCTCAATGTGACTCTCAAGGAGCTTTTCCGGTTGTTCCATAGCATCTTTATAAGCTTGATGCGCGCTCGTCAAGAAATCCTTAGCGTCTAAACTAGTCGCTATTGCCGTGATAAAGTAAAAGGTTTGGATCTCCGAGGAAGGACGGATGTCTAAACGAGGGGGTATATCCCCCCAGACAACAGCGACCCCCTCCTTCGGACTGGTCGGCTCCTCTGTTATCTTAATGTACCCAGATATGGAATTGATCTTAAGGTCATCCAGAGATTTACGTGGAAAATCATCTCTTTTGAAATCAATATCAACGCTCGGCGGTCCGTAAACATTAGTCATAAACAAACTTACTGTGTCGCGCATGTTGTTTTGAAAGGCTATCTCCGTGACAAGCAAATGCTGGTGAACCCGATGAGCATACATTCGCTGTTCTAAGGTAAAGTTATCCACGTGAAGCCTGTGATAGAACACCCCTTGTGCCACATTAAGGCTGAAGAGCTCTTCAGTGGCATTAGAGGAGAGATTGGTTCGTACGACGATCGCCGACGTGGAAGGAATTCTCGCCCTGTGACTCGGAGTTTCTGTCCCACGCCCGTTGAAGATCCCAGAGACATAAACCGTGTCGCTGTAAACTGCAGTGGCCAAATATCCATTACCAACACTCGGGTTCAATCGAGGATCATATGGTAGGCTCGATGACTCGAAGTTTGTTGCATTTGGCGTAGCATGAACAGTTTGACAGAAGCAAACCATTGACAGAGCGACAATAAATTCATTTGCCGACGCCATGCCTCTGACTTGTCGGTGGTTTATCTGGGATTTTTACGGCCGTAATACAGGTCGGTATCTCCCTTTTACTATTGATGCTTTGTCTAATTTTGACGATTTCCGTGTTTAATGACTAGAAGGTAAAGTTCCTCTGGCATTACGTTGAACGCTGCTATGCGCATGACCTTCATGTGATGCGAGCAGTTGAATTATTAACTTTCACAAGGTTCTAAACTCTTTCCTCTAAATGAAAATAAACCTAATAACGATAACAAAAGAACTATAAGTAACAAAAAAAGAAACAAACGCGCATAAACTATCCAAGGGCAAAAGTTATCTTCCACTTAAGTGGATGCCATTATATCCAGTGCTCGAGTAGAGAATTATGCGACAAAGTTCACGCCCTTGGTTTGCAGAGGGAAAATATCGGGGAGGGGGGGATGGGAGGTGATTGCGTTGTGTTTCTAGCTGATAGATTTAGGCACTTACAGTCCCACTCCCCAACCAGAAGAGTAAATGGTCTCCAGCACGTTGCAAGGAGACCTGGGACCTGACGAAATATTGGAGGGGGGGGGGGGGAAAGGAGGGGGCAAGGGAGGGGGCAAACTACGATGGCTCAGCGTCGCACCACGGAGTATCAAATAGTTATGCCCCTGGTCGCTTCAGGCTCCAGGAACGTGGTAAGCGCACCCGCCAAGCCACGCAGCCCAAGACGAATTTCTTGCAGATGAATCGAAATTCTGGTATCAGCAGGCATCCGTCTGGAACATACGTCATGAAACACGCTTATTCCCGTCACGGAAAAATTGTGCGGTATCAGAGTCAAAAGGATTCTAAGAGCTTAATGCTGGGTTCATGTGGGCTATTGCACGCTTGCAATTACGGCACGCAATATTATGCAATGGCTTCGGTACTGACATCTGTTGATGAAAATGGCTCAATAAATATCGCAATAAAAGCTAAATCTTAAGCCAGAGGATGCTGGAAGATTGCATTAGTTTGTTGTGTACTTTTAGAATATGTCAGCGATTAGCATAGCTTTTTTCATGTGTAACTGAAATGGTCTGAAATATGATTCAGTTTAGAATGTTCATTACTCATCCATGACATGCATGTAAACAGATTAGGAAAAGATAGTAAACTTGAGCTCGTTTATCGAATAGTATTTTCCACAAGCGTCGCATATACCTCTGTAACCTCTGATACCTCTCGTATTCTCTGATAACCCTTTCCAAAATAGGGGCTGAATCTCAACACATTGAAATGCAAAACTACACAAGAAAATATTTCTGCGCAAAAATAACTTGAGTAACCTTAACAATGGGTGCCTTAAAAAGTTTCATTTGCCCGGTTGCGGCTGTGTCAGCCGAGTAAACCTGTCGTGACTTCAACTCGGAAAAAGAACATTGTGACATTTTTACAAATTGGATTATTTGCTCCACTGTGGTAAAACAAAGGTCTTGTCAATAACTCGTTTTGGATTGTCATTTCTCTCATAAGATAACCCTTTACTCTCAAGAACTTAATCTTGGTTCTTCTAGCTTTCAGCTATATGTTTCTCATAATTTTACCTCGTAGAATTTAACGTTAGAAACATTATCTCCCAGCATGAGAACTTGTGTTCTCTTGCTCCCAGTAAATATTTGTCTTTGTTCTCATTGCCTTTGTGCTTGACAGTGTATTGTCTTAGTAGCGTAAGGGCAAACTAATCAATTGGCACTGCTTGGAGTAAAGGGTTTAAGTTACCCTGATTCAACATTCGCTTCCATTGTCATTTTGGAGAGGGGTCTAACTTGTCAGTGAGCTCAGATTCTATGACAGTAAAGAGGGAAACCGCAAATATTCCTGACAAAGCCCCTAAGTTGTGGCTTTATAAGAAAATGTTGTTTAAGTACCAAGGATAAATAGCCTTCATTTTTGACAAATTTTCGTCTTTATCTCAAAGAATCAGATTATACATTCATCTAGCTTAAGCAATTTCATAATCAGTATAAGCAAATTTAGTTATAAAAAGAATTTGAAAAACGTCCATAACATTTTGCTTTCTGAAGTAAAATCAAAACCTTTCAGGAGGGACTATGTAATTGATAATTCCCAAATTTAACATAAACATTTTAAGTAACGTACAAAGGTCGTTTAGGCAAGACGTGACTATGCTGTTAAAGGGAAAAACTATTAGAATCGTAGAACATGGGGGGTTCATAATCTTGACCCGAGAGACGATGCATTAAGCGCATTAAAAGATACTTGAGATTTAAACCAATTTACTGTCGCCTGACAATGTGCACGTTACAGAGTTCAGTACTGTACGCGTCAAGCCGGTAGGATTGCAAACGGAGCTATATCTGTAGCAGCCGGTTAAGGTGACTTTCAAACGCTTCTGGGTTCAGTCTTGGTGCACGAAAGAATTTGAAGGCGTCGGAGTCGTGGAGGTGGAAATCGGCACGTTTTTGACCCTACGTTACGATCCACGAATTAGCAGGGTATCTCTTTGCCCAAGTCCGTTGTAAGCTGCCATAACAGTGCGTTCTGCAGAATACCTTTTAAGTTTGCTGTTTAATTCCCAGTTACGTAATATGTCCAAAAACACCGTACAACGAAAGTGCCAGATCTTGAGTCCGGACAAGAACCATGTGATTAAAGGTGCAAAATGCGTACTCTTATTATGATTAATTTTTCACACTTTTCATGCAGTTTAAGACGCTCCCTTATCTCTTCCCTCACAGTCAGACTGCACTTATGGTTCAAGATATACCCCGTTGAATACCGATTTGAAATTTCCAGGGGAAAAGTTGAGTAGTACTCTGACATACTTTCGTGGAACATTGAGGTTCATTTCATTGCATGCAGACAAGTTTATCTGATCCGTTCATTTTGCAGAGAGCAAATAACTTAGTTTTCAATCTGAGGGCGTGAGTAGTTGTAAGCATGAATTTTAACGTATGCTAGAAATGATCTCTCATCGGCAGTTTCCTCCCCACACCAGACTGTAGCTTTGCTTTGAATTAAACGTAGGCCCCATATCGCGCGCATTCGTAAGAACAGTTGTGGTTAAAGCGTTCATGTTATTAGCATTTTATTCACTTTTCTCATGCTCCTCAAAATCCGCATTCTTGATCAAAGTTGCAGTATTTGTTTTGATTTGACTGCACAGCCGGTTTAAATCTTGTCGTTTGCCTTATTCCGTTGACGAAACAATATCACCTTGAAATACAGATAGTTATGAAAGTATATCATCTTGCAGTTTACTGTACAATTACGGAAACTTTAATTTAGACATAACAGCGATGACAAACCGTAATTTAAAAATAGTATTTCAGTAGCGATAGATGAACTAAGGATTTCCGTTAATGGACGTGAACAACTCTTGGCGTATCTCACGGATCGTTATTTCAAGAGCAACCAGACACTCATGAATTCACAAAAATGAAAACAAAGAGTTGTATTTCGTGAAAGGAAGCTGTTCTTGAAACAGAAAAGACAATAACACAAAAGGCGATCAAAAGTTAAAATGCAGTTGTTAAGGGTAAATCAAAATTAACTTCCGATCTGTCTATTAAATTGAATTCCTTCAATTCTCCGCTCTTGTTAAACCGGATGTTAATGTCTATGTATTGCACAGTTTATTTATATTATGGTTATATCTCGGACAATCCATTGTTTAAAAATTTCTTCTCATGAAAATTTCTTCTAATATCCCAGCAAAGTTAGTTTGATGTAGAGACGGCTTGTCTCTCCAAACTTGCAAGATCTTTCATCTCCATTGTTTCCTCTTTAAATATTTTGTGTCGAATCTGCGGTTTTATTAAACCTAGATTAGCTGTGATTGGCCGATCTGATCACACGTGTGGGACATGTAAACAATCCAGAGGGTTATTGAGCTTCCCACTTTCTATTAATAAACTGGAGAGCTTGTGACGCAGAGATGCAGATTTTGTCGTATCGATTATTTACTTTCCTTGCGGAAAAACAAACAAGATTTCAAATATGCCTTCGGCATGTACGCCAGTAACACATCGATATAATGTTTGAATCGAAAACGTCACGATGGCTTTCTTTTGCCCATCACAACTGACATTGAAAAAGAAAGGTAAGAGTTTTGTTTCAAGGGAGAACGTTCTTTTCCTTGTTGTTTTTCTTTGCACACTAAAATAATTAGAATTCGCCGTGCTTTGAAAGTTGTCTTTCCCATTGCATTGTTATTGTGTCATAATTAAGCGTTTCATTTTACTCTGACAAAAATTTTATCGCCTAATTTTTTTATTAGTTTTACAGAGCAAGAAGCCTTATCCACCTGATGTCTATCGCCCGTCATCAAGTCAACAGCAAAACGGGACAACGACCTCAGAAGTTACGAAGTCTGCTCTAAAAAATGGCTCGACTCCAAGCCACAAACAGGAGAAGCGAAACGTCCGAATCAACGAATCGGGCGTGAGACATGAAACGCTTTTTGAACGGAAAATTCGAGCTGCAAGTTTGGGTAAACCTGCCAACGTTCGAGTGAAAGTAACGCAAAGTTACGAGCCGGTTGATAAAGAGGAACTTAAAGTACGAAAAGGACAGCACGTGAAAATACTCTACCAAGAGAATGACTGGGTTTACGCGATTGACTCGTTAGGAAATAAAGGGTTTATCCCGTTGTTTTACTGCTCGACGAGAAGTGTATCCACCGACTCGAAGTCAAGCACCTCAGGTTACGAGGATAGTTTCGAGGATAGCGAGGACGGAGTCGGCGAAAGAACTACGGTGGTCGTTTTCAACGATCCTCTAAATAGAGCAAGTCATAGCCCAAATAACTCAATGACTTATTTCCCCAAGAGAGCTTACGGTCCGCAGCTGACAGTTTTATATGACTATACTGCGCATTATGAGAATGACTTAAGCGTTTGTCGAGGTGAGGTTGTTATGCTGCTAAACGATCAAGACGAAGATTGGTTTTGGGTCTCCACGGATGATGGTGAGGAAGGCTTTGTTCCTCGATCTTTTGTCGTCTCTCACGTCTGCGAAGGTAAACAATTTGCTTCTTAACATCTTGTGTGTGTTTTTTTAGTATTCATGTGGTGAAGAGTGTACGAAACAATGTAGTAAAGTTGTGAGGAAGCTCTTAGCTTTCTTGTATCAAAGTGAAGAACTTTATAAAACATTTACTAAATGTTTCCCGAGAGAAGGCAAGATTCTTAACTTTCCCTATGATAGAGGAAGTTAATACAGAGCGGTCATGTTATTAATTAAGATTTTGTTAACTGCAAAAGCGAATATAAAATCTCAGTAACTATATCAAAGGAAAGAGGAAAGACTCACGCATATTAGCAGGCCAGACTCTTTGGCAAGAGCTAAAATGGTCGAATTTCGGATTCTTAGGACTCGTGGATGCAAAATATCAATATAATTAAGACATGTTCTAGCGTGTTCGAGATTCCGTCGGCGTTACCGTTTCGTTTGTGAAAAGCAGTATTTGATACGAGTTACCTTTTTTTAGATGTAGGGCTATTTTTATCAGGTTGTTCAGTATTTCGAAACCTCATTTGAAACCCGAGAAAACTTTCTCTACTTAGCCCAGCACGTAGCTTTGCCTTACGAGAGGAAATTGATCTTTTATCAGGATAAACATTTTCCATTAAGTTCCCTTCCGAAGACTCTTAACCGATAAAGTAAAAATCGCTCTTTTAACAATTAACACGATGTCTTCGCCTCGTTTAAGATCCCCCGGATTGTTCTGGATTGTTGTTATTTTGATAACCTTCACCTTTTAATACTTTTAAGCGACGCGACATTTTGCTGATAAAAAATCCCTTTCAAATTTTGTAACATGCATGTTACTCAGCAACTGAAAACCTTTCTTGGTCTTGAACTTCTGACGTTTCATGAAAAAAAAAAAAAAAAAACCATAAAAGAGAAAAAGAGCGCTCAACCGTTTGCAGTTCATCTGGGTTACAAGCCGCAAAGTTTGCAAGTATTGATTTAGTTCGTCTGGAGCAATTCGAAAGAAGTTTAATCATTATCAACGGCAAAAGGAAACATGATTGAAAGTAAGCCGGATGAAGCAAGATAGGTTTAAACCATAAAAAGCAGGCTTAAATAAAGATAGGCTTAAACCATAAAAAGCAGATGGATCGAGAGGCAGATTTGCTGCAAACGTGAACGAAAAAAATTATCTTTGATATCGATTACACTTCCTAAACTCCCAAAATATAATCAAAAGAAAAAAACATAAACATCACCCCAACAAGAGAAAGGCCAGGGGGGGTATATAATTCGTGGGCAAATTCAAAACCATGTTGAGTTTTTTTGTCGCTCATCACTGCCAGAAGCTGCGCTGAACTGAATCGTTGTTTACTTGAATATTATGCGTGATTCAAAAATTCATGGTGAAAGATGAAAAATTGCGTGACAAGGAACTTTTATGAAATAGAGTACAAATTGACTGACTGATTGATTGATTGATTGATCTTAACTCAGAGAGACTGTTAAAATTGTTCATTCAAGACTTTTTCCTGAACTGAGTAATCCTTTTAAAGTTATTTAGGGAAATCTCGTCTTCGGATATTCCCCAGAGAATATTTACAGAGAGAGAGATTACAGTGACATGAATGCAGTTAAACTTTCAGATTACTCAGTCGTTCTTTCTTGGCATTGTAGTAAAAGTGATTTGGATTTCATGACGATTGTGTGTAGTAATTAGGAAAGTATATATGGAAATTAGGCAACGAACCCGTGTTCAAGTTTGGTGGGCTCTTAGGCATGAAGGAAATGCAATTATTTATTATCATTTACGAGTGAAATGAGTTGGAAAATATTCATACAGAAATACAATTTCTCTCATTCAAAACCTTCCTTCATTTCCACATATAGCCTGTGTTCAACGGTTATCTTCACCAAACGGTACATCGCTCAACTCACCGAACCTCAGTTCTTCTGACGTCACACCAGTAAGTTCGAGTTCGACTGGGATGAAAGGCAAATCATGGCAGACGGATGTAACCTCATCAACATCCAGTGATAAGACTTACACCCTAAAAGGAACGCGTCTAATAGTACTTTACAATTTTGAAGGGAAGGCTTTTGACGATTTGCCTGTTAGACCCGGAGAGTATGTATATGCAAATCTAAAGGACCAAATTGTGCCTGGGTATATCTGGGCTTATTCGCCGAATAGTAAGAAATCTGGGTTTATTCCAGATGATCATGTCAAGGAGCCAGTGATAACAGATATATAATTGATATAAGAAGTTTGCATTTCAATAACAATCACAGAAACTCTCTCCACAACAGGTTAAATGCCCCTCTCGTTGAAGGCTAGGACTAAGAAATAATGAGAAATTTCTGATGTATAAGTCTATTGCTCTATTTTGTTCTTTGTGATTTATCCATTTATCCGTTGTCGTTAATTGTTCGAAGTCTCATCACCTATACAGTGGAGCAGAGAGTTTTTACCGTTCAGTCTGTTTTTATGATGTCTTCTGAGGCTTTTTGATATCAGATAAAATTCTCTATCCGCCACCCTTTCCATCCCTCGCGGTTAAAATAGAGATGGGATGTAACATGAGAAAACGATGAAATAGAAAGTAACTGAGACCAGGGGATATGTCGAAGGGGATATGTCAATTTGATTCCACGGAAATTATTTTTAGTTCTAAACAGAAACGGAAGTCTAATTGATCTTATATCGCAAGACGTTTGCGTCGAGAGATTGTCTATTAATCACTTAAGTAAAACTGACATCTCTTAAGGCCTGAACCAAAAGGAGTTTTTCTCTCTGTTATTTTTTTAAGAATATTTGTTCCTTTACTATATCAGTTTTATCTAAGTCATGTGGTAAAAAAAGCTGTATTCCTATAAGAACGATGCTTTAGGTATCAAAATGTCCTTTTTGTAAGTTTTTGTAATCCACCCGCAAGGCTAAAGCCTTCTTTTAAAGAAAGATAGGATTGAATTCAACTTGCATCTTGCTCATATTTCATTGGACCACTTTTTGATCGAGTGTCATAAAATTAAACCCAAAGTAATTACATCGGCCAATCAGAAGAATGGAAAATGCCCTGAAGAGCCAATGAGAACTCAAAGTAAACACAAGCAAGCCACCTAAAGCGCGGGAAAACGCGGGTAACAAAGTTTTGATTGAGTTTAGTTTTGTATCTGATTGGTCGAGAGAGTGGGGCGCGTTTTCTGGACCAATCCCAAAGCGTAGTAGAGCAAAACCAATGCAATCCCGGAGTACTTTCGACACTCAACTAAAAATTACAATATTGCGAAGGAAGGTTCACATCGTTATGTTGATTTAGTTCAATAATCACCAACCTGGTTGGTGGCCCTCCATGTTGGAATTCTTTTGCTTGGACCTCTTCTGCTGACTACCATCAATTCTGTCACTTCTCGCGTATGACCTCATGATTGTAGGCTCACGGTAGTCTACAGTTTGAGTAGAATCATTTTAACAATGCAAGACATGCAACCTTATCCAATTCAATTCCCTTCTCCTTCTACGCTTTCTAACTCCGAGTGGAAAAGTTTATTTCAAGTATAAGCCTCTGTTTTCGTTACCACCTTGTGAATTCCTTATAGGGCAGCAATTCGAACATCGCGTAAAAGTAATTCGAAAAAATATTCTCAGTCGACGTTCGCCGGCGTTTTTCTTCGTTTTTGTTCCGCAATCGAAAGTCTCCTTAAGATGTAGTTGTGTTCAGTTATTATATCTGCATGCACTGTATGGCCACTAGGAAAAGATACGCTTAACCACGGGAAAGATCTCCGTTTAACCGCATGCTGTTCTAAAACATAGCCGAAGTCCCAGAGGTAATCTATTAGTTTCAACTGCTTTCTTTCATCCAGGTACTGTATGCAAGAGTATCGCGTTATACGGTTGTAAATCTTGTCGAATCTAATTCCCTTAATCAGCGATGATAGTTTTTTAAAGGAAAAGAGACAACTTTCAGCAAATACATATGGAAAACAAAGAACAAGCCATGTGGATAAAAGTGTTAAAATAATTTATCATTTTTGATAATAGAATATATGTACAGATTTTGATAAAATTTGAATTTTGTTTTACCCAGACACACCCAGTGATACAGTGTGTTAAGTTTACACAATTGAAAAACTTTGTTTATATTCCCCTCTTTGTAAGAACATTATTTGTCCAAAAAAAAAAACCATAGCATTAATGATGAATACTTCTAAAATGTGCCACCTCAAACGAGCTTGCAAAAAAAGAAACAGTCAAGTATAAAAATGAACTCCACCGATGCACGTATCATCTAATGAACTTCGGACCTTAGAGCTTGCTCAATGAAAATGACTTTACACTTTAACTTCCAGAAGTGATGAACATGTAACTTCTCCCTATAATATCCATATATCCACAAAACAGGTATCGAGAATACTCAAACTTATCAGGTAGATGTTGTTTCCTTGATCTTGCACCAAATTCTTGTAACTAATTCAAAAGGAAATTTGTAGCAGCCAGAGGAGAGAATTAGCGATCAGACTTTGGGATTTAAAGGGTTAAAATCATGCATGAAGAAAGATGTCATGCTATCACAGTTCACGTCGAAGTGAGCCAGTAACGTATTTGCATATCGAGTCACTACAATAACTCGTTTTCTATGCTAAGTGAATGGTGGATCCAGCTATTTTCGAGGAGGGGGTTCACCACTAACGTAACTGACAGGTGACGTTACCAAATTTTAAAAGCAAACAGCGAAGTAGAAGGTTTATGACTAGGCAATAACATTATGTGAACTTTTGAGAATACTTAGCATTTTCACGGCTTTAACATTAATTTTTGAACCTCGTCTCATGTTTTACTTTAAGACCAATAAACCCCCGACTTCTACCTTGGTTTGATCCTCGGAGACCAATCGCCGGCCTCGAAGCATTCTGACTTAAGCTGAAATATTACTATCCTCGTTGTAATTAAAATTAAATTGGATGAGAGAATAAATGGAAATGTGGAAATCTAGGAACACACGAATAAGTTGAGGTTTGTTATTAAAAAACGAAGAAAAAAAATCTTAACTAAAGATATATTATATATTCTAAAACTATATATATGTCATTAAGGTAATTTCATACGTATTTTTCCAAAGTCATAAATTCCTTTGGCGCAGCACCAGGCCTTCTTCTCTCTTTCTTACAAATGGGACATTGATTCGGAGGACGTTCCATCGAGGGGTTCCGATGCAGGGGGCACATATCCACCACGGACAAGATAGGACTACAATATGAGCTCCTGGAGCAAACACTGCGGTCTGCTTCTGAGCTACGGCTTGAATCCGTTGAGGGTGGCGAGGGGCCCTTGGGATGTGGGGCTGCCTCCCGTCGTATCTCTGGTGCCCCTGAAGGGAAACGTTTCACCACTGGTGTACTGTTGGACCTTTGTCGGTCCTTTGGGGACTGGTGGCCCCTTGCCTCTCCTGTCCAAGGGGGCATGGGTGCTAGCGTTCCTTTAGATATTTTTATATCGCTGGGAACTGGATCATGTGATCTTCGACGAAGCTCTTGAAGGTCTCTACCGCTCATCGCGTTCAGCTCACTTTTTTCCTCTGCAGAAACTCTTTCCTCAATAGGTTGGAATTTATGGACTGACGGTTTATTCAGTGAGCCTTTTCTGGGGTATGGGTCGCTTCTAAGTTCCGTATTTGAACCGTCAAGAACGATTTTATCTTCTGCGATGGACTTTCTTCCTCTCAACTGTTGACAAGCTCGTCGTAGAAGATCGTTCTCCTTTTGCAGACCAACAATCTCTTCACGTAATTTCTCTGCGCCTTCTATAAGCTGCAAGTTTTCGTCTTCCAATCGTCTGTAATCAAATGCCATTTGCTCCATTTTTCCCGAAGAATCTTTGAGATTTTCAGTTTCTTTCAATAGCCCATCTAAACGGGTAGACAGGATCTTTGTCTTCGTCTTCATAGCGTTGTCTTTCTCCATCAGTTGCTCGGCAAGTTGCTCTTTGAGAGACGCTTCGTTTTGCTTCTCCTTCTCGAGCTGCTTAACCTTCAGCGCCATTTCGTGTAGTTCCTCAATAAGTTTTTTCCTTTCTTCTTCTTTCCTATCGACCTCCCGGTACAGCTCCCTGAAGTCCGCTTGTAATTTGTTATTCATTCCTTCCAGTCTGTCGTTTTCTGAGAACATGGTCCTTAACTTGTTGTTTAAATCTTTCTGGCTTCCGCTGTCAAGAAGAAGCTTTTCAGTCTGAGCCTTTTGCTGTTTATTTATCTCCTCGATTCGTTCTTTATCATACTCAAGCAAACGGACTTGTGACGCGAGGTCTTCTTTGTCTTTCTCCAAGCTACGGACATCGTTTTCGAATTTTCGTAGTAGGGCACTGAGACCTTCGACTCTTTCTTGCAGAGATATGGCTTCATGTTCTTTAGCTTCAAGCTTGGACAAAAGATCTTGATTTTTCTTCTCCATTTTTACTTTAAATGCATGTGCGTCGTCTACAAGTTTTATCCTTTCATTATCCACGTTTGTACGATCTTCCTCTAGCTTCCGGAATTTGTCTTTTAAATCACCATGCTGCTTTTCTAAGACATTCAAACTGTATTTTGTTTCATGAAGTTCGGTTTCAATCGCCTTATTTTTTCTTTCGATAGCTTCTTTGGAGAACGATAACTCATTCTTCTGTTGTTTCGAATTTCCAATCTCTTTAAATACCATCTCTTTCCTTATTATTTCAAGTTCCACAGTCAGGTCTCTCACTGTTTTCTTCAATGTTTGGTTTTCTGTGAACAGACAGTCTTTTTCTCTCCTCAGTTCCTTGACTTTGTCCCAGTCTTTGCCGTCTTTGTCTTTCGTGTCACTCGGGGATCTTTTTAATTCTAAACTTGTCTTTCTCAGAGAATTTTTCTCCGCGCGCTCATCGTACGAAAGCTTACGCAACGTCTCAACTTCATAACGCACTTCTAAAAACTCGTTGTCAAGAGCGCCTCTCTCTCTTTGCCCACTCGGCGTGAATCCTCGATCTGTTGCTTCTTTTAGGTCTTTCTTTAGTTTACTCTCCTTCTCCCGGGCAATATTCAGCGCTTCCTGAAGTCGATTATTTGCCCGTCTCAGGCTTTCAAGTCGTTCCTCATCTTCGCATCTTTCTCTCAAACCCTTGTAAAACTCTTCACGAGCTGTCGCCAAACTCGCTTCCTTCTCGTCGAATTCCTTTTCCTGTTCAAAAATTGTTCGTTTGTGGTCGACTATCGCTTCCTCTAGCAAACCAATTTTTCTCTCTTTTTCTGCAAGCTCATGTTTGAGGAGAGTAATTTCATCGCCTTTCGTCATCTTTTCTGGCGTTATCTTTTCATTTCTGTCAATTTGATCACGACTCATTTTCTTTTGATCGGCATTCAC